AAGAGAAAGGAACAACTTTAAGACGCCCAAAGAACTTGTTCGATCATGATTCCACCCACACAGATACATTATATATATATGTATAAAAAAAACTATATAATATAATATATATATATATGTATATATATGTATATATATGTATATATATGTATATATATGTATACATACTAATTTTATTATTTAGATATATAATTAAGTTTATATACATTTTATCATATATATTAGATTCTATTTTTCTTTTTTTGATATTTTATATTATACTATATTTTATTATATTATATTTTCTTTTATTATATATATAATTACCTTTTATTTCATTATCTTTTATTATATTATATTATATCATTTTTCATTATATTATATTACTTTTAATTATTTTCTATTATATTAAATTATATTATCTTTTATTATATTATATTTTCTTTTATTATATTAGATTATATAACCTTTTTTATATTATATTATATTATCTTTTATTATATGTTCTTTTATTATATTATATTATATTACATTATATTACATTATGTTTTCTTTTATTAAATTATATTTTATTATCTTTTATTACATTATTAAATTATCTTTTACTATATTATCTTTTACTATATTATTTGATATTATATCATATTATATTTTATTATATTATATTATATTTTGTTAGATTATATTATATTATATTATATTATATTATTTAACGTATTATATATATATATGTGTATCGTAACGATCCGCTGCGCCTTTCAAGCTGCAAATGTAATCAAATATTTGCACATGCTATCCCTTAAGATCTCTTAAGATCTCTTACACTCACAAGATCTCTTAAGCAGCTGCGAGTTCTGTGGCAGCCTGGGGCAGGCTGGCAATCTCACCCTCCAGGCGCCTGTGGCCATTGAGCCATTTGAACTAAACTCCAGCTGCCTCAAGCTGCCTCCTATTTTCCTCTCCAGGCAGCCATTCAGCGGTTTGCCGCGGACGTGCATATCAACCGAGGCAACTTTAAAGAGGCCCTAGAACACAGATGAACACAGATCTGACATGAAGATGATATCCTGGGACACGGATCCGTATTGAACTGGACTCTCCAAGACCCAATGAATGCAAATCTGAAAGCTGAACCACAGAAACACGACACGTCTGTGGAAAAACAGAAACTATGTTTAGACAAAGCTGTGGAGAGACATTGGTGGGCGGATTCATAACGTGTGAAACCACAGGAAAATGCCTCACACATGGTTTTTAAGCTGCTTGAACTCAATATGGATAATGATTAGTCTCTTCCATTAGCTGTACTCGTTTATGGGGAACCCACCCCGCCCGATCCAAAATCTTTCGTTTAGTTGGGGGGGACTTCCCGGGAAAGTCGCCCCAACATGCGTTTAGTTGCTGTGGAGCAGTTGCGCAAGATAGAAAACGATGCTTTAGAAGTAAATATTGCTTCATTTAGCTTGTGTTTACACTGGTGAACTTGTTTTTTTTTGCTATGCCTGGCTCATTCATGTGACCTTCTAGCAAATCCAGTCACGTGTTTACATGTCGCCCTGCCGGGGGGTGCCTTTCTAGAGTAGTTGCATCGATTCATCTAATTGTCGGCCTGATGCTGGGCTGCTGCCAAATGGCTGCGGGGTATCGCCACGGGCAGCGTGCAAACTGCTGCTTGAGCTGCTGCCAGACTGCTTCTAGACTCCTGCTAGAGACTTGCTGCCGGGCTGGAGGGGTTTCCAAAGCTATTTTCTGGCCTCCTTAGCATGTTTGTTCGGTACGGTTGGGCGTTCGGAACGCGCGTTTTAAAAACTCGCGTTCCAGAACACGCGTTCTGAGTGAATCCTTTTTCCCAATGATATAAAGTTAACTTATTTCCTGGGCCTGGACACTGAAACCTTTTTCCCACCAAATAAAAAAGGATTTTGAGAGCTCTTATGGGCTCAAAATGGTGTATGAAGCCACCAGAAAGTTGATCTTCCCAACTCCGGATCCTTTTTTGGGTGAAGCAAAAAAGGTTCTGGCCTCACCAGGCTTGTGGGGCAAGTTAGCTTTCCTTCCCGGATCCTTTTTTTGGAAAAGATTCTGACCTCTCACAAATTTTATCGTAGTGCTAGTAACAGAGGTCTAAGAAGATTTTGAAACATTGTTGAAAAATTCTATGTGACACAGCGGATCTTTTTTGCAAGGAGCAAAAAAAGGATTGGGAGCCTTCTGGGATCCATAAAACCACTAAAACCCCCCCTGCGTTCGGAACGCGCGTTCCAGAACGTGCGTTTTGCGTTCTGCGTTTTGGTCGTGCTAAGCTGGCCTCGTTTTGGCCTCGTTTTTGGCCTCGTTGCAGAAATATTGAGTTGAGATGTAAATCAGAACCCCATAGATTTGTTACAAAAACATACCAAAACATGCATGAATATGCGTTCACATTGCGTTTTGAACCAAAAGGTGACATTTCTTAGATGTACTTGTTATACTTTGAATGCGTTTTGCAACAAAAGAGATATTTTACCCAAACATACATGAATCATGCATTTACATGGTGTTTTGATATTGAAACATATCATTTTGTTAATAATTTTCGATCGTTGAAACCATTTGGGTGATTTGCGTCCTCATGGTGTTTTGCACATTTGGGATGATAGTTTTTTTTACTTTTATTTTCGTGCTGCGTTTACAATGGGCGAAAAAATTGGGGTGACTTTTCCTAGCAGTTGGGGGGCGTAGTTCCATGCGGGAATTACAGTTGACTGCAACGTTGGGGGGCCTTCGCCGGCATTGAGTATCCTTCGGAATTTGGCATTCCAGTACAGGGGAAGGACTGTCCGCAGGTCATGCCAGGAGGATAAATGGACACCATTGCAGATAAGGTCTCGCAGAGTTGGAAATGATTGGGAATGGGGAGACCAAGTCTTCACAATGCAGGCACTAACGTCTGCCAGAGAAGCAGTGGAAGCTTCCGAACGGCAAGGAGACAAGCTGGAGTCCTGGTCAGTGAGGTCATGAGAGTTGAGTAGGCTGCTGGGCAATGCCACATGCAGCTGATTGAGCCAATGCGCCCTGAATCAAACTGAAGCCATTTCAGCTCTGCAACCCTGATATAGTGCGCCATTACTGTGCCATTTGCCACGTTTGCAAGGATGGTTCAGGTGGATATCTTGGCTCTGACTGTGGCCTCATTGAAGGCAGTCGGTCAAATTGCCGTCATGGCTGCTGCTGGTTTTGTGATGACACGCATCGGTGTGATCACCAATGACGTAAGGAAGGGTCTGGGAGAGCTTTCCATGAACCTGTTGCTCCCGTGCCTGATGTTTAGTCAGGTCATTTACTGCAATGCCATTGAGCTTAAGGGACAGCAGTGCCCAAACATGGCACAGACCATCACATCTTCTGCAATTCTCTTCTTTTGGCCGCTCGTCGTGGTTGGCTCTGGCTATATCTTAGGCCGCATTGCGGCCATCATCATGAGGGTTCCAGCCAATTTCAGAAGTGCCGCAGCTGGATCTGTTGCTTTCGGGAATTCGACTGGTATGCCAGTAGTGCTCCTGACTGCCTTGGGGCCTTCCCTGGTCGAACAAGGAGTCTTGCAAGGATCGCCGCTCCTTTTTCTGCCAGTCTACCTGGTGCTTTCTCCCTTGTTGCAATGGACGGTGGGTGCTTATGTCTTTCGTGGTGGGCGACAAGATGAGTCCAAATCTGGTGATGCCACACCCACTTCCTCAGACACAGACTCAAGCAATTCTGAGGCAGCGTTCGCGAGAAACAGACTCAGTACAGTTCCGGTGACCCGACAAATTAGTCCAATGTATGATGAGTCGGAACTAGTTGTGCAACGCCGACAAACTATGGGTGTACCCCCACCTAGTGTTGTTGGCAATGGCTTTTCAGCGCAAGCAGAAGTGGAGGACGTTCTAGTCCCCGAGGATATCGAACTGCCACGAAAGCGAGACAAGTTGGCAAAAGTCGTGAAAAAGATCTTCTTTATGTTCGTCTCTCCACCTGTATTAGCCACAATCTTGGGCATATTGGTGGCGTTTATTCGTCCTGTTCAGAACCAATTGATAGATCTTCATGATGACACCCTGACGACAGTGCATACACTGGATTGGCTTTACATAGGTATTCGGAAAATGGGTGAGTCTGCAGTGCCGGTGAACCTCATCATGCTGGGCTCCAATCTTTCAAAAGGTGCGGACTTCAATGCCATCCCAATTTCCACTGCAGTGGTATTGACGCTGACCAAAATGTGGATCCAGCCTGCGCTCGTGGCAGTCTGGGTCTTCCTCTGTTCCCGTCTCACTGGACCAAGCTTCAGAGGACAGTGGCTGGTGGCCCTGGTGGTATCGCTGACCCCTACGGCCAACAACATCATGGTGCAGGTGGAAGTTGGTGGCCAGGACAAAGCCGCAATGAGCACCCTGAGTCCTGGAGTTGTTGAGTCGGTAATTTTACACGGTATCTTCTATATATTTACAGTTTTCATACATACATATATATATATATATATACATAGGAGTTTTTTGTCAGAGATGTGCACGAAACACTGTAAAGCGATAGGCCCCCCCCACAAAAGCGATAACCTGGGACCATACATGACAGTCCATTAAGCTTGGTCTAAACCAAGCAAATACTGTTATGCACATTCACAGAACGGGCAAAACCGATGAGAGAAATTCAACCTGTGGTGCCCTGTTTCCTGCAGTTACCGTATCATTTGGCATCGAACTCGCTGGCTCGCTCTCTTTCTCTCTTTCTTTCTTTCTTTCTTTCGTTCTTTCTTTCTTTCTTTCTTTCTCTCTCTCTCTCTCTCTCTGACTCTGTCGTTTTTGTGGCAAAATTTTGTGGCAATTTTCCTTCTAGCGATAACCTTAGCGATAACCATGTGTTGCACTCGGTCCCCTGGCCAAGCCATAGAGCCATTTCCATAACTTTAGAAAGGACATGCACAATGAAAGGAAAATGCTGCAAGTGAAAGGAAGATGAATGGACATGAATCCACATTGGAATGAAATGAAAGGAATATGAAAGGAAAATGAAGGGAAATGAAGGGTATATAATGAATACAAATGAAAGGAACATTAAAGGAGAATGAGAGGAAAATTACAGGAAATGAATGCAAAATGAAAGGAATGCATGCAAATGAAAGGAAAATGAAGGAAAATGCATGCAAATGAATGCAAAATGAAAGGAACATTAAGTGTTGCCGAAGCACCTGAAACCAACAAACAACTCCTCGATCCATTTCCGAACCTGTTTAGGAATGGATTTTGGCTTCATGTTGGATCTCGAATATGCTGATTTCCACAAAACCCTGGAAAGCGATAGGGCCCCCCCAAAAGCGATAACCGTAACAATAGCAACTACTCACATGTAAAGGATTTTGACGGGAACTATATATATATATATATATTATATACGTATGTTTTGGTTGATAAATCGCAGATCAACTGAACATGGGACAGTGGGAAGACTGAAGGCTTTCCATCTTTTCCAGGGGCTCGGCACCATCAGCACCGTCAGCACCGTAACCAAATCCAAGGATCTTCGTCCAGTATTTGATGTCGCCAGTTCTACTGACTGTCTCCTTGACTGCCGCATCTGCCTTGATGCAGGTGGATGGCTTCCTACCTGAAGCGGGCACCTGGGATTTGGCCAAGGAGTTTCATTTCTGAGCAGAGCCTAGCAGAGCCAAGATCAAGAATGGAATGACATGGAATGACATAGGATGGACTGTCTTAGTGACAGTAGTGACACAAGCTGCTTGCGGGGTGGCCACTCAGAGCAGCAATGCCTTATTATCCGTCTCTCGCAATCCTACAGACAGTATAATTATGTATAATTACAGTATACATAGATTTAGATTGGTTTATATAGACTGGTTGAGGCTTTAGGTGACGGACAAAGAGCCGTTGAATTTCTGACCGCTGTTTGATGCATGAAGCCAAAATGAGTCAGCTGCTGGGAGGGGAGTGTAAATCAGTACTCGAAGGCCTTCTTGCCCATCGCTCACTGCCAGCAGACACAGTCCAGCTGTGCATTTGCTGTTTCATGGTGCTAGTTGTTTTCTCAACTTTGGCACGTTCCTCACCATTTCTGACCTCCCAGGCGCAACATGGCAAGAGGCTTGGAGACGGTTGGTACTGCTTGAAGCTTAGCGCCTGGTGAAAGCAACTCAAGAAGTCAATTCTGTGGACATGTTGGAGATAGAGAGAGAGAGAGTTGTTGTTTTAGAGCGGTACATTCAACGATTTCTGCCAGACTTTCCAGGCTAACAAAGGCAGGGTCATTTAAACAGGTCCTTTTAAGTCCTTCTATCTTCTATATCTTTAAATGAACATGTATGTAACGATGTGTGGCATTATGTTGCATCGATGCGCCTATCGTATGCAATGCATGTACTATCATCTATTTCTATGTCATAGATCTGACGCATTTAGGTCTGAACAGCTTAATTACAGCATCGACACTTCTGAGGCCCAGGGAGTCCTTGTCAACTTCGCACAGGCGCTTTGAAGATCTATGAAGGGGGAAACATCAGGGTCTCCCGATGTCTCCCGTCGGTGGTAGAAGCTTGGCAGCTGGCAGTTGCAGCAGTGTAGGCGACGACTACGGCGCAGGAGTGTCAAGAACTCTACCAGGCGTGAACTGATCAACTACACCTTGCTGTATGAACTGTATGAACCAGTCAGTGAGATGAAATGATTGATGAAAGCTGTAAACTGGATGAGCATATGATAATGTATAATTCCAAGAGTAGAATGAGCATAGGGGGATTGAGATACGTTTCTCATTTTTGCGACGTGGAGTGGGCAGCGAGCAATTCACGAAGAAACGTGAAGCCCACTTGCAGTTTAGAGCTTTCACATCCTTTAGCAACTCTAGCTGCTATAGCTCCAAGATGCTCCAAGATGCTCCAAGATGTTTTCCATTTGACACGTCCATAGTAATAACAGTGGCATCATGTGACATCTACATTTTTCTGGCAAGGAAGTGGGCGATCCCTTGGGAGAGGAACGCGCGCTTGAGCTGATGGCCAAGTTGAGAGCAGCTCAGGGCAAGATGGATGGCGCGCTTGAGGCCAGGGCAGCTATAACTATAACAGCTATGGGTAGCTGAATGAGTTGCAGATGTTTGCTGTGCAGATGCCAATGGCGTTCGCAGGCAGGCGAAGAGCGCTTGGCAGTGGTGTTTGGCGCTCAAACTTCAGTTTGTTTGTGGGCAATGGTACAGTAGGTGTCTTCTGACTATAACTGGTTGGTGGTTTGGAACATTTTTTATTTTCCATATTTTGGCAATAATCATCCCAACTGACTAATATTTTTCAGAGGGACTGAAACCACCAACCAGATAAGTTGGTGTATTGTGTAATATGTTGTTCCTTTACTCTGTTTTGGTAACACTTGCTCAAGTGGTCTACACGGAGTCTACACGCATGCGTGACCCATGCATCCTCAGAGGTTTGCATGCTCACATGCTTATCCTGAATTGTTCCTCACTGAAATGCTTGACAGCAACGGTCCTCTTGTCCAAACAGTGCTGCCTGTATCTGATATAAATCTGATACAGTATCAAGATCTTTGGGCAGATATGCCAAAGGTGTGGGGAAATCTCTCCCTACGGGCCACAAGGCGTGAGAGTTGTGGTCCAGACAAAGAGGCAGATGCCCTGCATCAGGCTGGGACCGCGGCCATGGACTTTGTCTGGGGATGAGCCCAAATAGATCCAAATAAAACGTTGGACACAATATGACAAAAAGACGATAAACATCGATAAACCATTGGATGGAATCCGGATGGAATCCGGTTCCCGATTCTAAGACTCCCCGCTAAATCCAGACAGGGAAAAGTTATGAAAAGTTAAGCTACAGGGCGGATCCCAAGTGGTACAGGTTCTTGCATGGAGTGGTTATCAGCACTGGTGTACCTTGAGTGTGGTTCCGAGAATCAGAAAATTGAAATCTACACCTTGTCAAAGATACCAGACCAGGATGAGCAGAAGTGCTTGCATTTTATACGCTTTGGGAAACTGGCAAACTGAAAGATCACATTCGCTTCCCTGCAACACCACTACATGCAGCCGCAGAACAGCATGTCATACAGGCGATACAGGGGAATCCACAGACAATGGACATTTCTTCAGCAGCCATCCTTTCTCCAGCTGCTTTCTTGGTTGTTTGATAACCAGCGTTAGATTTCTCGACAGATCTCGGCATTTGCCATGTCACAATGCGCTCTGGCCTTGGCGCTGTCATCTTTGCGGCTGTAGCCTTTGGAGGCCAGATTAATGTATGGTGAACAGTTCTCCTTGCAAGCCCAAAATTATATATATATAATTATATATATATATCTTATATTATAGAATGATGTGTGTGTGTGCACATATAGTTCCACAATTACTGTAGTTCGAAACCCTGTGCAACAGATGAAATTCAACTTGCCAGACACTAAAAGGTAACCTGTACCGCAGCATCCTTCATGTGTTCGCAGGCAATGCCAAGGTGCAGGAGGTGGGTCCGCTGTCGTAGCTTTCACTGTGAACCTTGGAATCCAGGACCCACCCCCCATGGCCTGACAGATCTTGACACTGACAGAATGTTGACAGATGTTGCCAGGGCTTCAGGGATGTCATTGCCTCTGGTGGATGGCACACCTGTGCTCTTCGCGAGTCGGGAGAGGTGTCTTGCTGGGGAGCCAATGATCATGGCCAGCAGCCTGGCTGCAATGGGCCGACGGACATCAGTCGTCAGAAATTGCAAAGAAACAACGAGTGGTACGCCTTGATATGCCTTGATTGAAGGTTATATAATTACAATACGTATATAAAAAGACGATATAAAGACGATACAGGCAAATTTCCTGTATCATAGTCCTATATCATAGCATATCATAGCCCAGCGATCGTTGATTTTTAACGATCGTCATGAGGAAAGTGAAACGATACCCGGCCCCACCGCACACAAAGTACGCGAAATTTGTGCTAGAGTGTGGTAGGCGACAGGACATATAGGACCTTCCCACATTTGCTGATGTCCCTTTGTGGATAATTGTGGATATATGAGTTTCCGAGATTGCTCACCACTGTGTCCAGATTGCTTTGTGCATCGCTATTCCAAGGTCCAGTCCGCCCAAGGCCAGGACTTTCAATGCTGCCCACTTGTCACATTCCACAAGATAGTGTCCAGACATGTCCATACAGAACCGTTTAATCTTTGATAATCTTTTCATTGGTTCGGATGCACTCATTTAGTACGTTCGCACTTGCATGCTCGTTGTTCAGGGCAACTTCATCGGTGTGGCTTCCGGTAAAGGTCACAGCTGTGCAGTCAAAACCGATGGACAAGTTGAATGTTGGGGTAGCAACGAGCACACTGGCCTGCAAAAAGAAATGACAAGAAATGCAAACCCTGCATGTGCGATCAACATATCAAAATCATTCAAAATCAAGTCCTTCTGTTTTCCTTCTGTTTTCCTTCTGTTTTCCTTCTGACCTTGCCTCTTCAATTGATGGGCTATTTGAGGTATCACCAGTGCGACAGTCCGGATGCACAGTTCAGTCAGGTTGCTTGCGGTGCTGCGCACACTTGCGCCCTCAGTGTGGCACCTTGGCATTCGAACGCTTGAGGCATAGCTGGCATAGCCTACCAGGAGTATTGGGATGTGTTCGTACGTATTTGTTGGGTCCGTTTGATAAAGCGGAGCTTCGAGACTTTTGAGTTTTTTTCGTCTTCCCCTTTCTATCCCAGGATGGCGAGGTCTTGTGCTGGGGAAGTGATGAGCACAGCAGAAGTTCCGGTGCGCCGAGTGGTAGGCCATTTGCGGGTGACTGTGACAGTTGAACTCGCACCGCTCTGCAATGCAGAACTGTGGCAAGACTGCTTCCAAATTTGACAACAAGTTGCGCATTTTGGAATGGTCTTTGAGCCTCAGGTTTGTAGGCATTGCTGCAGCCGGTGGGCATAGCTGCGCGCTAGAGGAGAGTGGCAAAGCACACTGCTGGGGTTTCAATGATGCTTGGCTGCAACTTGCTAACCAGCTTCAATGGTTTCAATGCCATAATTACATATAATTACAGCTTTTTGCCCGCGCTTTGTGTGACCGTATGTGACCACGGGATGGGTCAGCGGAAGCCTGCTACCCATCAGGAGTACAACCAGACAGATGCGGCTTGACTGAATAGCTCGCCATTGATTGTGTTTGCCAGAATACGCAGTTGCCATCTCAAATTTTGCTCACTGCATGCAGGTACCAGACCAGAAGTTCAAACAAATCGCCCCTGGCCCCTTGGATTCAAGATACGCACTATAGTAGAGGAGTCGACCTGGCAGATCACATTTGCTAAGTTTTTCCCTTCTTACCCACAGAGCGAAAATTGAATGAAGCGTACCCAAGGTTACTTGCATACTTGTGCCCTCGACTATCAGCAGGAAGCAATTTGCTGGGGCCAGAAGCGCCTGGGAACACATTATCTAGTGAAATTCTAGTGATCTAGATTGATCTAGTGAGATTTCGTGAGTGACAGAGTGAGGTGAAAGAAAACAATCAGAACATGCTATACACATGCTTTGCACAATCCGTTCTTGGCCTCCTGAGGCGAGGCGACAACAAACCTCCATCAGGACAGACCCCGGCACTTATGAAAAGCGATGACAGAAATGCAACACCAGAGTCGCAATCATTAGCATCAGAAGCAATAAAGAGTATACAGTATAAGTATATATAAGTATAATAAAGCATTTGTTTTAAGATCCTTGGCTCTGCTGAGTCGAGGACGTTTCAGGCAGATTTCATCACGTGGGCCCTTTACTTGCGCCCTGGACATGTCAGGCCGATAAATGTAAGAAATTTTAAGCCATGAAATCGAATTGGCTTTCCTGATGTTGATTGATTTCGATTGCGTTCTGCGATTTCGTAATTTTCTGTGCAGGCAGAGCTGTGTGCTGGCCACAAGCTGATCAGAGGCCATTTGAAGCACAGAGGGGGAGCGGTCAACCCGGGGCTTCGCTGTGCGCCAGGGAAGAGCGCTACGAGGTCGTTTCCGTTGGAGGATCTCACTTCTGCGGAGTCTGGCACCCGGAGAGACTGCAACCATGGCAAGGAAATACACAACGACATTTGTGGTTAACTACGCGCAATTATTTCGACAAATAAATCAACACTCATAAACATAAATATTGTAAAAACATGTAAAATCGTTTATATATGTTTTTTATTTGTTTATATGTTTGAAATATTATGTTTAAATGTTGAGACACACCGCCCCGAATCACCAATTTCATTGCCACGTGCATGGGGCACCAAGACATTGGCCGCCGAGGTCCAGAGCTCTGGGCAGGTGCTTTGCCGCGGCAGAGATGACCGAGGCAGACATTGCGAGAACAGCAATCCATAGCATGCCTTATTGATAATACTGTATATGATAATATTGTATAATATTGTATAATATATATATATATAATATATATATATGTATTATATAATAATAATTAATAGTTATATATTGTATGTATGTGGGGATCATGTAGACAATGTGATGATATGTGTAGTTGTTAAAAGACAGATAAGACATGAATGAACATGAAACATGCAATTAATGATATTGATATCGTTGTTCAATCAGTTTGACTTCTTGGTTGTTGTTTTGCGATATTTGGCGCTGTTTTGCGTGCTTTCTAGAATTGTGGTGTCAGCTTGGCGTTGACATAGTCAGCGCTCCTTGAAGGCCAATCAAGTCCTCCAAGTGGAAAGTTCCAAATTCCTTCGAAGAATCTTGGCTTCAAGCACATGGCTTGAGAAGCGCTGTCACATGCCGACCTGAAATCTGTTCAAACCAACCAGAGGTCTGCATCATTATTTTCATAAGAACTTCATAAGATCTCTGAATTCTTGGAAGATATCGTCTTATTATGTCTTATTTAGTAGCGTAGAATGGCAGCAGCAAAAGTCAAGGGTCTAGGGACACCCTTCATATGACACCATCTCTGAGGCGCTCCAAGCGGCATGGAAAAGGGAAAGAATTGTGAGATGTGAAAATTGTGAAATTCATTGAAAAAATGGGTCTGCCTTTGCAGCACCCGAGTGGCTGATCCGGTGCCCTGCCAATGGGCGGTAGTCGTATGTAGTCGTGCAAAGTCACGGCTAAAAGATTGGTTGGATATGGCTGCATTGAGAGATGAAATATCGTCTAAGGTGTCCCATGCAGTCCCTTTTCCAGGTGCAAGAAGCTCGCAGAATCCTTGTTACGTTTGATTTTGAAAGCGTCAAGAAGAAGTGTGGAGTGCATCGCGACCAACATGCCACAGCTCAAAGCATTGCGTCCAATCACTTGGTACCTTTGACTGGAAGTTATAAACAACTCCACTCCGCTTCCCATATTTGGACCTCCCACATATCGGACCAGTTATGTGCTATGAGTTGAATCACAATTGATCATGATGAAACTTCGGACACCTCTTTAGGGGTCACCGGCAGAGAGAGAGAGATATCTACATATACAGAGATAGAAAAGTAAAGCTCGTTATAAATAAGAAATATAGACTGCTATGCTTCAGGTAAATCCAGGTCAGCATTGCTTGTTATACCTGTTATGCAGTTAGATGATGACAGCGCGTGGCAGCCATTGGTGCAACGGGCAGCTTTGGCCAGACGGACAAATAACACTGCAGGGTTGTTGGCTGCCCTTGAAGATATTTTACAGAACATGCGAAGCCAGGAGAAGCATAGAGGAGAGCGAGCAACGCGGACGAAAGAGTTGGATTCCAGTATGTCCAAAGAATTTGGAGTTGAAAGTATGACCACGTGGTTGTGCCCTCTTCTGTTGCGCTATGAACTGGCTACTGTAGCTGAAGAGCTAATTGAGGAGCTAGCTGCTGCCAAAAAAGAAGAGATTCTCAGCGTTGAGCTCAAGCACTTGGGGTCCATTCAGCTATGTACAGCCAAAGATGTATCTGACTGGACCATGGCAGATGGACGATTCATTTGGCACGGTGCCCATGCATGTTTGCAGCTCATCATGGATGGACGCTTGAATATCAGGGAGCAGCGCGTGTTGGAATTGGGCTGCGGCTTGGGGATTGTGGGCCTGGCTTGTGCTAAAGCTGGTGCCAGAGCAGTGACCTTAACAGACTATGATCCGGAGCTGCTCAGTGCCTGTTCCCAGAGCATAGCCTTGAACTGCCTGGAGCAGGTGACCACTTTGATGTTGGACTGGCAGCAGGTCTCCTGTGGTGGGCCGTTGCCGGACTTGCAGACTGACTTGATCCTGGGGGCTGACATTATCTACGATGAGGACCATGCGAAGAGTGTCCTTGGATCCATTCGCAGGCTCTTGCGAGAAGGGATCGGCCATGAGGGCATCTTGATTACAGGCGAGCCTGAGAAGCGTCAAGGTGTTTCTGAACTTGACAAGGCGCTATGCATTCCAACGGTTTCAGAAGTCGTGTGCAGCGGAGAGTCTGAATCATTGCTGTGGCAAGTCAGCCTGTTGCCGGATGTGGTAGACGGTAGACGGCACAGACTGTACAGATTCAGTTGGCGGAGTTAGCCAGAATTGGAAAAGATGAAATGATGACTAGTGAAGCTGTGCGCGATATGGGTAATTACTAGTTACATAGAATGATTTTTTCAACCTCCTCTTCAGAAAAGACATGAAACAACTCTAGACGTCGTAGTTTTTGCTTTTTGCAACAGTGACCAGCCGAACCCCTTGCAGGTGTTGTGCAGTTTCGTTGAATTGTCAAACCTACTTGGCTTGTAGTGACGGTAGTTCTTGCTAGCCAGCACTGAGCCAGAAGCAGACGCTGATGCCATGGTGAATGATATCAGATTTCTTGTTTGCAGGTGGGTGGCTTGCACTTTCAGTCTGGGAACATTGCAAGAAGCTCAGACCAATCAGCTACCGGAGGCCATATGTCCAATGGCAGATTCAAGCCGCAACTTAGGCATTGGCCGAGCGCACCGTCAAAGAAGCCAAGAGTGTGGCCAGGAAAGCCCGGCACCTGGATTCACCTGGTATCATCCGATCATAGAATATGACAGATGACAGATGAAGTATATATTATTAATATATTATTATTAGATTATAATAATAGATATATTATAATATATTGTGAATTATGTCTTAATTATATAACTATGCATATATATATATATATACATGTGTGTGTGCATATAGATAAACAAAGAGATTTTAGGTAAAGTCATAGAGCAAGATCCCTTCACAGAACTTCCATCAAGGAAGTTTTGGCTTCAACGATTTGCAATCTAGAGAGGAATAAACTGCAACGCTCTGCAAAAAGTGCGAGTCAGACTTCCTAGATTCCTAGATCAGAACCCTATAACCCTTGTTTGCTGCAAGAAGCGACGTTTTGCAGTGGCATATCTGCTCTTTAGCGTAAGCTGCGATCGTCATGAGGGCACAACTACCCGAGGCAGCAAGCTCTTGCCGCCATGCTAAGATTTTTTTCCCTTTTGATGAGGGCATTTGTGCTCCAACTAAGCAGGACAGTTTCTGTCTCCATAAGAAGCATGTCTCTGGACTTTCGCAGCGGCTGGCCTTCACTTCGGCTTCGGGGCATCTTTCTCCCACTCGTGCAGGTACGCGGTGTGAGAAGTTCGGGTGCAAATCCCAGCGTTACGAGCAGGTCCATCATTTGCGAAGGTTCTCGAATGGTGCGCCTGCATGCAAGATCCAAGAAAGCATCTAGCCGAGATTTCAGAGACACGAAGCACAAACTCACGTTCAGCGGCATCTATATACCTGGCTGAACGTCATGCACAATGAATACTATAAGAGTGCGCCCTGAAATTTCACACATTTGGGTTGAATTGTTTTCTGTATTTTTGATATGTATAGTAGCGACTATAGTGTTGACCTAATTGCGTTCTGCAATTTCACCGGCTACTCAGCAAGGCATGGTCTTCAACATCCGAATGGGACTTGGAAGTGCTGTGGCGGCCCTGTGGAACAAGCTCATGGCCAGAATGGGCCAACCACAGTGCAGCAACGCAGGGCAAAGCTGTTCTTTGTGAGTATGGTCCCACCCAGAGGGTCTTGGCCTTTGCCAAATCAGGTGATGCCAAACGTGGCTTTCTGCTGTTGACCCGAAGTGGTGAGATTGGCATTTACACCCAGCGTGGCTTTCAAACCGCATCCTTCCCTTGGCAGGAGTTGCGTGTGGATCGCTGGCATTCGCTGAGGGCAGTAGGTAGCAATGGCAGCACCACTTTTTACTGCAATGGCCAGCAGGTTGCGAAGATTCCATCAGAACCTGACAATCACTGGCCAGAAAGGTTCTGTGGGGACATCGATGCTCGTAATCCACAAGGGGCCGGCTTGGTTCAGTGGATACGTTTTCAGGTGCAAGAAAATTCTGGAAGCTGTCAGACAATGCAACCAATGGTTTTCCCTGTGGTCCGACGGCCTAAGCTCGACGTCCACAATCAAGGACTCAAGGACCAGCGTTGACAAGCCGCGACTGCCATTGATGGGTTCCAGATGGTTCCAGGCTTCTTCCTGCTGAATCCAGGTCGACTTTTTACAAGAGAGACAGTCAATTCGGTGCAGCAATGACTGGAAGCAGTGCAGCTTTGTATTGAAATGGATTGAAACTGCTTGAAAACGCTACGGTTTCCCTTCAGATCCCATCATCAGTAGGAAACCTAGGTGGCCTTCTTGCCTATAGCTGCGCCTAGCTGCAAACCAGCTCATGGCACGTTGCTATGTGACTGGTTTGTGCTGTCGTTTTGGAGCCAAAGTCCAGGAGGCACACGGACGGACCAGTCATTACCAGCCAGATCTCTCCGGCATGAAAAAGCTTAGTGCTTTTGGTTCCCTAACTTGGTCTGTTTGTCAACCATTGCAGCCGTGCAATATACACTCCACTGTAACATACTGTACATAGCATGCCACAGAGGGCCAGGTTCTCGTATGACAAAATAAAGCAAAATGGCAATCACAGCTAGAAAATTCCTCGAGAAGATTACCAATGGATATAGCATGTATATATATATATATATTATATAGATTGATGGGTGGGTGGATAGATGATGATATATAAATGGATAGATATAGGTAGATAATGGATGATAATGGTAGATAGATGAGCGGACAATAGATGTAGAATGATGTAGAAAGATAGAATGATTTTGATGTTGGTCACAGCTTTACCTCAGAGGAAAGAGGAACACATTTGGATCAGATATTTGTAAAGCATGTTGTTCAACAGAAGCAGCTAGCACTAGCCACTGGCCGCTACCCCTTCTCCCGATCAAGCACACTTTCACAAGATTTCCTCACCAATGCTAACTGATGCATAGCGGCTGTGAGATGGATGTGTGTTCCAAGTTGTCATGTCTCCTCAGTGTCGATGAGGCCGGATGCCATGGAATTCTTTCTGAAATCTTAGTGACGCTGCAGCCTCAGACATCCATTTATAGTGTTGGCAGCAGTGGACGGTTCAGAAAAGAGATGCCTTTCTTCCTTCGGACTTTGAAACGTCAAGCCAGCATAGTGTCCCAAGTTGAAACGAACTTCCCGGTCATCCTTCAGCGTTTCTGCTCTTCTCTTGAAGCCAAGAACAAAAGATCAGCACTCAGCGCGATTTTTCAGTATGTTTCAACACTGGGTCGATCAAATAGCTGCTCTGCAAAGTGTTGAGCCCAAAATTGAACATTGCTTTCAGTCGCGTTCTGAAGCTCTCCATACCATAAGAGCGGCGATAAGGTATTATGTTCTGACATCTGCTAGCGGGACCAAAAGAGTCTTGAGGATTTTTGATATCTTTGAAGGTCTTGCTTCCTGAGACCTTGATAGACCTTGAACACCTTGAAAGAATTCCAGCGTAGGCCATTTCAGGCAACAGACCTGACTGCGTTGCATCGCCATAAATCCCGCAGCATGTGCTCGCGGAGCTTCGTTGTTCAGAAACGAGGGGCCAAGTCTGTGGCCAGATATGACTTGGGCGATTCTCTGGGCAGCGGTTCATTTGGTGCCGTGATGAAGGCCACCGATCGGATCTCCAACGCCTCTCGTGCCTGGAAGGCTATGAGGAAGGGAAGCTCTGCTCGGTTCAGCACGGCTTTGAATTTGTCCTGTTTGTCCCGTGTGTCCCGTGTGTCCCGTGTGTCCCTGTTTATTCGAAATTCTTCGAACGGCTGGGCAGGTGAAACAAGTTGAAACATTGTTATAGTGATTGATGATCAATGACTTGTTGGGAGTAGTACAGTTCATTCGACCCTGAGGCAAGGAAAATGACACTATGTTCCGGAAGGAAGCTGTGACAATGTCTGTCCTGGACCATCCCCACATTTGCATCTTGGCGCTTCCAGTTCTTTTGATGTCAATTGAAATATGTGGAGCCAAGCGCCAACATGCATCAACAAGCTGACTCGAACTAAGTTGACTGAGGCCGTTTATTCGATGTGATCGAGGACAATGAGCACTTCTATTTTGTCATGGAACTCTGTGAGGGCGGCGACCTGCAGCACTACCTGCAGGATTGCAAAACGTCTTGCATATCCGAGAGTTCAGCCGCAAGCCTTATCCGACAAATGTGCTGTGCCATGCGTTATATGCATGGCCGGTTGATGGCACATTCTGACTTTGCTGCCCGAAATGTTCTTCTATTCGAGAGTCCTTCAGATTCTGCGCTTGGGAACTTCACAGCCAAGCTAGCAGAAGCTCACCTCTGCAGGTTATTGTCATCCCAAGTTAGGTACCCAAAAGGATTGTGCCATTGCTTTGCCATATATTTAGGATTAGGAGTTTCAGGAACTAAGGCGCCGCGCCTTACATAATCAAAGCGCCTAACTATCTGATTCAGCTAAGGACTTTGGAAGTGTCAGACCCGTTCAAGCAGGAGCCAAAGCTGGGCCTCACAAGGGCGACATGTGGGGCTTGGGTCTCTTGATGCGAGGAATGGTTTGAGCCTTGCATTAGACTTAGCTGTCACATTTTGGGCCATGGTTTAGGATATTTCGGGGTTTCTAGGTTCTTTTGGCCAATTTGGGTCGCTTTATGAATTTTGCCTTTGCAAAATGAAATCCTTGCGCCGTTGGTTTGGATTTTCACATGTTGGTCATTTTGTGTTGGGTTGGGGCAATCCATGGATCATTGGCAAGATTTTTTTACAAGGGTGCATGGAGTCAATGTGTTCGGTTGGCAATACTTCTATTGTCTTCTCTCTCTCTCTCTCCCCGCTCAATTTAGACAGGCGACATCACCCGGATACTTGGAAGTGCACCGGCAAACAAGAACAAAGTGGATCCAAATATTTGGCTGGGCCACTCAGAAGAGGCTCGGTGCCACTTGGCCAGAAATACCTCCTCGCAGCCGCAGCCTGCTGGACGTGGGTGCTTACTGCTTCCATTTGTTGTGGGAGGGCTATTTTTTTGGGATGCGTTTCTCTTTTTTGGGCATGTTTTTTTGATTTCTGTTTCCCTGCTTCTTTGCTTTTCTGCTTGTTGCTTTTCTGCTTTTGCATGCGGCTCTGCTTTTATAGTCCTTTGCTTCTCTGCTTCTCCACTTTTCTGCTTCTCCGCTTTTCTGCTTTTCCAGCTTCTCTGCTTCTCTGCTTTCTGCTCTTCCCTGCTTCTTTGCTTAATTACCTGCTTCTCTGCTTTTCCCTCTTTTTTGTTTTTCGTACTGCAGATAACCCTTAAGAGGTGTAATATAACATATTATCTTAATGGGCTAACGCCCAGTGCCGCCGACCCCAGAAGGGAAGTCCATGGCACTGTGGATATCCATACCACTCATTCCAAGTAATTGATAACCACTATAACCATTAATTACCAGTAGTACCGCACAAGGCGGTGGCGGAAGTTTCAAAAACAGGAAACCTATAGGAGAGATTGGTTGTTGTGAATCACGGATGGCAGAACGAATCCACTGATGGACCGAAAGGTGGTTGGAGCTGTGTTTTTGGAGTGGCTGCAATGGTTGCAGTGGTCACCTGGTCGGTCACCTCACCCGCAACTGCTGGATGTAGTGTGGTGTAGTGCAGCTGTAGTTGCAGTGTAGTGCAGCTGTAGTTGCAGTGTAGTGGAGTCGTAGTTGTGGTGTAGTGTAATTAGTGTAGTGTAGTTGCAGTTGCATTTGTGGTGGTGCAATGAGTGTAGTGTAATGTAATGTAACGTAATGTAATGCAATGTGGGGTAGGGTAGTGTAGTGTAGTGTAATTGGGTGTAGTGTGGTGTGGTGTGGTGTAGCGTGGTGTAGTGTAGTGTAATGCAATTAGTGTAGTGTAGTGTAGCGTAGTGTAGTGTGTTGTGTTGTGTAGTGTAGTGTACCGTGGTGTAATGCAATTAGTGTAGTTGTAGTTGTACTTGTACTTGTACTTGTAGTTGTAGTTAGTGTAGTGTACGGTAGTGTCGCGTTGTGTAGTGTAGTGTAGTGTAATTGAGTGTAGTGTACTGTATTGTAGTGGAGTGTAGTGTAGTGAGGTGTAGTGTAGTGGAGTGGGGTGTAGTGTAGTGCAGTGTAGTGTAATGTAATTAGTGTAGTGTAGTCTTATGTAGTTGTAGTTGTAGTTAGCGTGATGTAGTGTCATGTAGTGTAGTGTAGTGTAATGTCAATAGTGTAGTGTAATGTAATGTAGTGTATCTGCAGTTGCAGTTGTAGCTGTAGGTGTAGTGCTGTGTCATTCAGGCTAGTGTAGTGTAGTGTAATTAGTGTAGTGTAGTGTAGCGTAGTGTAAATGTAGTATTGTTGTAGTTGTAGTTGTAGTTGTAGTTGTAGTTGTAGTTAGTGTAGTGGAATGTAGTGTAGTGTAGTGTAATGTAGTGTAGTGTAATTGAGTGTAGTGTAGTGGAGTGTAGTGGAATGTAATGTAGTGTAGTGTAGTGTAATTTAGTGTAGTGTAATTGAGTGTAGCGTAGTGGAGTGTAGTGGAGTGTGTAGTGTAGTGTAATTGGGTGTAATTGAGTGTAGTGTAGTGGAGTGTAGTGCAGTGTAGTGGAATGTAGTGTAATGTAGTGTAAAGTGTAGTGTAAAGTGTAGTGTAGTGGAGTGTAGTGTAGTGGAGTGTAGTGGAATGTAGTGTAGTGTAGTGTAATTGGGTGTAATTGAGTGTAGTGTGTAGTGGAGTGTAGTGTAGCGTAGCGTAGTGGAATGTAGTGTAGCGTGGTGTAAATGTAGTATTGTTGTAGTTGTAGTTGCAGTTGTAGTTGTAGTAGTTGTAGTTGTGGTTTGTGTATTGTAGTGTAGTGGATTGTAGTGTAGTGTACTGTAGTGTAGTGTAATTTAGTGTAGTGTAGTTGAGTGTAGCGTAGTGGAGTGTAGTGGAGTGTGTAGTGTAATGTAGTGTAGTGTTGTGTGATTGAGTGTTGTGTGATTGAGTGTGGTGGAGTGTAGTGTAGTGTAATTGGGTGTAGTTGAGTGTAGTGTAGTGGAGTGTAGTGTAACGTAGTGTAGTGGAATGTTGTGAAAGTGTAGTTGTAGTTGTAGTGTAGTGTATTGGAGTGTAGTGTGGTGTAATGGTGGTTGTAGTTGAAAATGCTACAAAACCCTCACGATTTGCTCACTCTTGACAAGGTGCACAATCCCATGCGCCTGCCACGCGGAACGACATCTGAACGTCCAAAAGTGGTTAGGTTATGAGCGTACAAGTTTCTGAAAAAATATTCTTCTGGTAGTTGATCTTTCCTTTTCTGAGCGTGTCATTTTCTAAGTGTTGGTCGGTTCATTTTCTGAATATTCAGTTTTCCTGAGAGTAGATCGCTCTCATAGTTGATATAATAATAATATTTCCATTTATGTGCGTTTTCTGGCGATAGAAATTTGCTGATTCAATATATGGCCTGGAGTCACATAGTGAAGTTTGATCTGACCAACTTACAACATTTAGTACATTGGGTTGGTTAGTTTGTCAGAAGTTCCCATCATATATACAGATGCGCTCAAAATTTTAAGGCACAATTTCGCAAAAGTTTGATCAACAATTTGAAAATATGTTTTTTTGGAAAAAGGTTGATAACATGTTGAAAATGTTATTCAAATTTTCTCCAATTTTGATTAAACTTTGAAATTGCATTCAAAGTTTCTTCAAAGTTTGATGACAAGAAACTTTAAAAACTACATTTAAAGTTTCGCTAAAGTTTGATCAAACTTTGAAATTAATGTTTCAAAGTTTTTATCAACCTTTGAAAGCAATATTTCAAAGTTTTATCAAACTTTGAAGGTTATTTTAAAACTTTAACAAAAGCCTGACTTTCATTCCAAAGTTTGATAAAAGTTTGAATGCTCAATCAAAGTTTGATCAAACTTTCAAATTACCTTTCAAAGTTTGATAAAAGATTGAAACATTAATTTCAAAGTTTGATCAAACTTTGAAACTGGTTTTCAAAGTTTGACCAAACTTTTTAAACATAAATTTCAAAGTTTGATTAAACTTCGAAGGTCAAGCTTTATTCTTTCAGAAACATCACTCAGAAATGGAAACTCTCAGAAATGAAAACTCTAAGGAATGGAAACTCTCAGAAATGAAAGCTCTCAGAAAAGAAATGTTTGAGAAATGTATGCATTCAGAGAAATGTCACAGCTTGTGGGAAAAATGAATACCGTAAAATTCCGCCGAGGCATGCAAAAAGCCATTGCATCAATTTTTCACGGGCACAAACGCGAAATCAAAAACACCTTTGCTTGCTGGTTTTTTCTTTGGGCTAGTGCCTTTCCCACTAGGTTCTTTTCATGTGTGTTTCTTCTTGTTCTGGTGTTTCCTTAGAGGCGTGAGGCTTGAAAAAAATACGCAGAAACAAACGGAAGTAACATTTTTCCTCCTTGTAATATATTGAGCTTAGATTCCATAGCATTCTCAGCTTCCTCCTCAGCTTTTGCCATTGCATTTTCAGCACCAGCCATAGCTATAGTTAGCCAACACTACACTTGCAGCAGCCCAAAATCCCGGCGGTTTAGTTTAACATGTTCATGAATTGAAAATGCAGAAGCTGATGGAAAAAATCTAACAGTCAGAAACGATAGTGAATCCTGCAGAAACACTGACACTCTGAAATTGAAATACATCAGAAATTTTCAAAGAAATGGAACTGTCTGAAACTGAAATACCATCAAATGAAATTGTTGACGGTCACACAAGGAAATGACACAGTGGGAAACTGCGATGAAACCAACAGAAACTCATGATCACAGAAAATTGAAATGACATCCAGAGAAACTCTCACGGCAAGAATTGAAAAATGAAATGGAAAGAAAATTTCACAGTCAGAAATGGAAATCAAACTGCAGAAACTGAAATGGATTGATCAGAAGCTCTCACAGGCAGAAATGGAAATGAAACTGCATACCATGAAATGAAATGCATGGTTAAACTCTCACAGTCAGAAACTGGAAGTGAATCCCTCAGAAAACTCTCACACTCAGAAAGTGAAATGAAATGGAAAGAAAATCTCAGAGTCATGCAGAAACTGGAAGTGAATCATTCAGAAAACTCTCACACCCAGGAAATGAAATGGAAAGAAAATCTCACAGTCAGAAATGGAAATCAAACTGCAGAAACTGAAATGGATTGATCAGAAGCTCTCACAGGCAGAAATGGACATGAAACTGCATACCATGAAATGAAATGCATGGTTAAACTCTCACAGTCAGAAACTGGAAGTGAATCCCTCAGAAAACTCTCACACTCAGAAAGTGAAATGAAATGGAAAGAAAATCTCAGAGTCATGCAGAAACTGGAAGTGAATCACTCAGAAAACTCTCACACCCAGGAAATGAAATGGAAAGAAAATCTCACAGTCAGAAATGGAAATCAAACCGCAGAAACTGAAATGAATTGATCAGAAGCGATCTCACAGCAAGAAACGGAAATGAACATTTCACCGGTCAAAGGACCCTCTCGCAGCGCCGAAACACCATGGCAGTGAAGGACGGATCGGGCCCGCGGCCGGCAGCCCAGACTGCCAAAGGTCACCTTTTGAAGTGACTAGAAACTAGCTCCAAACCTTGTCTTTGCCTGCCCTTCTGCACTGCCAACTGCCAACCCCTTGGACCTTGTTAGTTTATTTATAATATATATATCTTGATATAGGATATATCTACTGTAAATATAAGGTATATATCCTTGTTTGTATCTTATTAACATAATATGTAAATAGCCTAAAAGTAGCCTAATCTGATATCTTAATATGTTTGATAAACCAAAAAAAGGTAGATTTGGATCTTGAAAGTTTACCGAGAGATACCAAGAGATACCGATCTTTCCATGTCTGAGTGGTAATTATATTTTTTTCTTAGAATTGATCTTTCTGAGAGTTGATCTTTCCAACACTGAATCATGAATCTTTCATTTCTGAGACTTGATTGTTTCATTTTCGGAATGCCAAATTTTCCTGAGAGGAGATCTTTGTGAGAGTTGATGGATTCAATTGCAGACTTGCTGGATGCCTCACAATCTGGCTTCTTCTCAGTACCAGCTGGCCCACAGGAAAAACAATTTTTGAACCAGACCTGGAAATGAAAATTCGGGCGATTGAATGCCTATTAGTTTTCTCGCAAACAACACAACATGTTTGTTTGTATTCAAACTACATATATATATATACATACATATATATATACTGTATATACATACATATATATATACATACATATATATATACATACATATATATATATATACATTGAAATGGTCTAACCCAAACAATTCAATAATTTTCTCGTAAACAACACACAATGTCACATATACTCACTGGTTTTCCTGTTCGACAACATAATATCACACATTAAAACTGTTAAATTCCGCAAAAACGTGGTTTCTCGGAAACAACACACATGCAGTCATGCAATTCCATTTTTCATTCTCGCCATGAAAATTTCTATAGCTGAACCATGCCATGCATTTCAAAAACATTCAAAAACAAGTTTTTTTTCCATGACTGTACCTTTGAGCATGGCATATAGCAATATATATATATATAGATATATAGTGTCAAAGATCACTTGTCAATGACTTGAAAGGATCCATCGGATGCCTCATCCGGCTTCTTCTTCTTTTTCTCAGGCTCAGGTTCACCTTCCGGATAGTACTTTTCCCAAACCAGCTCGACAGTGCGTTCTTTTTCCTCAGCTGAAAGAAAAGTTTGGAAAGTTTGGGAAAAACATGGACAGTTTGGAAAAAATCATCATAAAATATGCCAGCATCATTGACTTGACTCAATCTCCAATGTCCCATATCCTTTTCGAACCATTTGCGGGAATACTCCTGAACAAAATGTTCAAACAGAAATATATCTATAATTTATTTATTTATATATATATTATGTATTTATAATATATTATATATATTTATATTATATACATATAAATGACAAACCAACAGGTGAAAACCATTTGAACATGAGTCCTGGCTGAACTTCTCGGTGGCAACGTAAACACCAGAAGGCATCGCGCGAAACAAAGGGATGAAATTGAAAGTGCGATTCTTGAACTGGAAGCGCTACAGCTTGAAACATGTATCATGATTTGAAAACCTGAAAGAAAATTTTTCAGGCCAATGGAAATGACATGAGAAAATGTGAAAAGCACTTCGAAGATTTCAAGGCACTCTGGAAAACCACTCGGAAAGATCTTGGAAAATGCTCCATAAAGATGAAATAATTTGAAAATTGAAAAGATGAAAATGAAGAAACATGTTGGAAAAATAGTCTATATCTACATAATAAAACATAACAATAATATATTATATCTTGTTGTAGGTAATTAAACAAGAAACAGCATAATAAACCAAGATATATCTTGTCTATTAATAGACTAAGAAGGTCCAAGGGGAACTTGCTCGTGTCCTCTTGCAGCTGGCTTTCGTCCTGCACAACAGCTCCGGTCAAAGGACCCTCTCGCAGCGCCAAAACACCATGGCAGCGAAGGACGGATCGGGCCCGCGGCCTTCTGCGCTGCCAACTGCCAACTTGCTCATGTTCTCTTGCAGCTGGCTTTCGTCCTGCACAGCTCCGGTCAAGGACACTTTCGCAGCGCCAAAAAACAGATCGGGCCCGCGGCCGGCAGCCGCCCAGACTGCCAAACATCACCTTCTGAAGTGACTAGAAACTAGCTCCAAACCTTGACTTTGCCTGCTCTTCTGCACTGCCAACTGCCAACTTGCCCGTGTCCTCTTGCAGCTGGCTTTCTTCTTGCGCAGCTCCGGTCAAAGGACCCTCTCGCAGCGCCAACACACCATGGCAGTGAAGGACGGATCGGGCCCGCGGCCGGCAGCCCAGACTGCCAAACGTCACCTTCTGAAGTGACTAGAAACTGTCAAACCTTGACTTTGCCTGCTCTTGTGCACTGCCAACTGCCAACTTGCTCGTGTCCTCTTGCAGCTGGCTTTCTTTCTGCGCAGCTCCGGTCAAAGGACCTTCTCGCAGCGCCCAAACACCATGGCAGTGAAGGACGGATCGGGCATGCGGCCGGCAGCCCAGACTGCCAAACGTCATCTTCTGAAGCGACTAGAAACTAGCTCCAAACCTTGACTTTGCCTGCTCTTCTGCACTGCCAACTGCCAACTTGCTCGTGTTCTCTTGCAGCTGCCTTTCGTCCTGCACGGCTCCGGTGCAAGGACGGTCCTGCAGGGCCAAAACACCATGGCAGTGAAGGACGGATCGGGAACTGCCAACTTGCTCGTGTCCTAGCTCTTGCAGCTGGTTTTCGTTCTGCACAGCTCCGGTCAAAGGACCCTTCTCGCAGCGCCAAAACATCATGGCAGTGAAGGACGGATCCGGCCCGCGGCCGGCAGCCCAGACTGCCAAACGTCACCTTCTGAAGTGACTAGCTTTGCCTGCCCTTCTGCACTGCCAACTGCCAACTCGCTCGTGTCCTCTTGCAGCTGGCTTTCGTCCTGCACAGCTCCGGTCAAAGGATCCTCTCGCAGCGCCAAAACACCATGGCAGTGAAGGACGGATCAGGCCCGCGGCCGGCAGCCCAGACTGCCAAACGTCACCTGAAGTGACTGTAGAAACTAGCTCCAAACCTTGACTTTGCCTGCTCTTCCGTGCTGCCGACTGCCAACTTGCTCGTGTCCTCTTGCAGCTGGCTTTCGTCCTGCACAGCTCCGGTCAAAGGACCTTCTCGCAGCGCCAAAACACCATGGCAGTGAAGGACGGATCGGGCCCGCGGCCGGCAGCCCAGACTGCGAAACGTCACCTTCTGAAGTGACTAGAAACTAGCTCCAAACCTTGACTTTGCCTGCTATCCTGCACTGCCAACTGCCAACTTGCTCGTGCCCTCTTGCAGCTGGCTTTCGTCCTGCACAGTTCCGGTCAAAGGACCCTCTCACAGCGCGCTTTCGTCTGGCACAGCTCGGGTCTGTTGTCCCCTCTTCTCTGACGCGCGCCCCCTGCTGTCGGCAGGGGTCGGCAGATATATAAACCCTAAATCGGGCCAGCAGGCCCTGTCAACCGGCAAAGCCCCCGGCCCGTCAGGGCCGTACCTTTAGGTACACGGCTGCCGCCCCCTGCCGCCGACCCGCAAAACCCTGGCCCAAGATGAGCGCCGAGATGGCCCAACGTAGCTCCAAGATGGCCCAACATAGCCCCAAGATGGCCCAACATGGGACCAAGTGGGGCCCATTATAGGCACAACAACAACAACAACAACAACGACAACGACAACGACAACGACAACGACAACGACAACGACAACGACAACGACAACGACTAACGACTAACGACGACCACGACGACCACGACGACGACGACGACGACGACACCACCACCACCACCAGCAGCAGCAGCAACAACAACAACAACAACAACCACAACCACAACCACAACCACAACCACAACCACAACAACAACAACAACAACAACAACAACAACAACAACAACAACACCAGCACCACCAACAGCAGCAGCAGCCAGCAGCAGCAGCGGCAACCACGACTCTGCCACCACCCCACCCTGCACGTTTTGGCCTGCCGGCCCGCTGTTGGGCGTCAGCCCCTTAAATCAACCATAAATAAACCCTAAACCAACCAACGAAACACTAAAGCAACTCTAAGTAAGCCCTAAACACTCCCCAAACAAATTTGAAAGTAATCCTGAATAAACCTTGCACCAACCATTCATAGACCTTAAGCGAGGCCTAAATCAATCTTAAACCACTGATAAACACACCTTAAGCCAATCCTGAATAGGTCCTACACCCACTCTAGATAGATCCTAAACCAAGCCTGGATAAACCATAAACCCTAAACCAGCCTCAAATAGATGCTCACCCAAACCTAAATAAACCGTAAACCAATCATAAATAGATCTCAAACCAAACCTAAATAGAACCTAAAACAAACCCTTAGAAAATCCTAAACTAATCATTAAAAAAAATCTTAACTTCAAAACCAAGCCTTTAAAAAATGAAAACCATACAAAACCCCTCAACTAAGCCTAAAACCAACCCTAAAACCAGCCCTAAATGAACCCTAGTTGCAAACTACCATGTTACATGAACAGTTCGAGCAAGAACATGTTGCAAATTCCATCGGAATGACAGGTTCAAAGTCAAAAATGCTGCAAATACCGTTGAAACGGCAGCTTCCAGCTCCAAAATGTAGCTTCCAACTCCAAAATGCTGCAAATAGCAATGAGAACGGGCAGAAAAAACAAATCCAACAAAAAAAACCCAAAACGGAACTAAATAATTCCCAAAACATCCCAAAACAATTCTGGACCCTTTGTTGTGCCGACCCAACTCTTTGCTTCCAAAATGGATATCTCACGTATATGGTTGTGATTGAATGTTGATGTTTCTCACCACAAATGTCCTAAAGTGCTTTCAGAATTAATCTTTGCATTTTTTCCGGACGAATGTGTGACTTTCGTGACGTGAAAGAAACGGAGTGACTCAAACATTTTCCCTGTGATCCAGTCATATTGAAGCAAATTCTCTCCTTGAATCCCAGTCCAAGGTTTGTGTGGGCGTCTGTTGCGTAGAGATCCCGAAGCAAGATGGACAGCTGAAGAGGCTTTGCATCACAGCTGGTTCTACTCAGTGGAACTGCCACGGGCTGAAATCCCAGCTGATGTGCTGCAACGCTTTCAGTGACTAAGTGGCATCACGTTGGGCATGTTGGGAATTGATGGAATTGATGGAATTGATGGAATTGTTCCCAGTTTTTCGCCATGGCAGGTGGGGGCTTTGTGTACTCATTGTATCTCATTGTAGCTCTAGTTTTGCTTATTTTGCCTCTTCGAGCGGCAAGACCTTTTCAAGCAATATCAAGCAATGCCCTGGCCTTGTGTCACCTTTACCCAGTGGTTCTTGATCACTACTCCCAACTGCCCAAGTCGTGGCGAAATCCCAAAAATCTTGAAATTAGCTTGGGGGAAGGCTTTTGTGGAAGTCGTGGCGATGCGGCGTTTAGCTTGTGTTTAGGGTAGGTTGCTGTCTTACTATCTCATGTAGACCTAAAGTGGCGAAGCGGCCTTTAGGTTGTGTTTGGGGTAGGGCGTTGTTTTACTATTAGCATAGTGCTTTAATCTTGCTAGTTGCGTTCTCATTGTGTTTGGGATGGTTGCTGTTGGGTTCTGCAGCTACTGGCGTCTTGCTGTTGCTGCGGCTGCTGGTTCGACGGCTGCTGCTGTTGCTGTTTCCGGGTACTTCTACACAACGCTGGGATTATCATCTCTACACTGCCATGGCGGTGTGCTGGGATTCTGCAAATTGTCATTGTTTCGCTACCAGTGATCCAAGGAAGGGCAGGTTTGCGGCTTGCGGGCCAAAGTCCATGTGTGTAGATGCGGGGCTTTTTCCGTACCTCGTTTTGACCTCGTTTTGGACCTCGTTTTTTTTTAAGAACCCATCCTGCAGTAACAAACTAGGAAAAGGGCCTGCTTCGCGTTTTTGTTTGTGGGCGTCAACAGTGCCCACGAAAAAAGGCCCGTTGGAAACCGGCGTTCCGATGGGATTCGATCAAAAACGAATAGAACATAATAGAACCATGATAGTTTGGTCAAGGCTTGTTAAAGCTAGCGTTTCCAATGGGGAAAGGGGTTTTGCAAGGTCTGTGCCGGGACAGGGGTCGTGGCGAGCGTTTTGATTGGGAATAGCTGTCAAACGCAAACATTGCAAGGACTTGGGCGTATGGGTGTATCTAAAGTTCCTTCCCTTTCATGCCGGTCTCAAAACATTATGTACGTAGATGAAGATGTGGTCTTTGTCCCATTTTGTCCCTTTAGAATCTTTAGAGGCTACGAAATTTGACCTCACGGATCCTGTTCAGATGCCTGTATTCTGTTTGATGCCGCTGCTCTACTGAAAAGCCTCCTTGCAAGACTTGCTTAGCATGTGCAACTCTTTTTACTTCTTGTCCTAGATTGTGTTGTAAACATGTTTAAACTTGCATCCCTACAATGGCATTGTTCAGGATCCAGGATCCAGTTAGTAGCAAAAGCAGATAAAAGCAGTATAGGTTTATGCTCCAATCAATACCGTTCGAACAAAAAGCGCAGCTGTTATCGGGGCAAGGCATCTCAACATGCCACCCAGATCGAATCGTTGGCTGCCGTTGGCTTCAGGCGCTTTAGCTCTGCAAGCGTCCTTGTTCAGAGCAGCCTTCAGGCAGTTGCGGAGCAGGGCCAGGGGAATGAAGCCCTTTTTGCCGCTTTGGATCAGACACTTGGTAGCACCGATGTGGCTTTTGAGACTCATGACATTTCTCATGACCATATGAATGTGATCGGCCATCAAGAAACATCCGCGTGCTGTTTCTCTGTTTGAATTTTGGTCAGCCAGTGATCTTTGTAAACAAAGTGCCATGATTTTCAATGTTTTTGGCCATCATCAATGACAAGTCATCGAAGATCCGGTGCTGGTGCCACCAGCCTTCAGGAATTGCGACGGCTACATTTGCCACAAGGATCTTTACCTCTGCCTAAGCCAACTTGGGCAAGATGTTTCGGAAGAAGACCTGCAGAAGTTGGTTCAAAAGGCACATCATATCAAATCATCATGTTTTATGTTTTTTTTGGTGTTGTAAAATGGCTTTGTGAAGTAATTTCCCGAGCATCCCCAATCTCATGTTGGCATGTGTACTTTACAAATCTTTCCAAGGTGGATCCCGATGATGTAGGAGCCATCGAGCTCAGCTGCTTCAAAGCAATCATGCTGAAGGAGTGCTGGGGGCAGTGAACAGATGTGAACAGCGCCAAGCGATGCCAAGCGTCTGTTGTGTTATGACTTGTTATGTTGTGTTTCCACTGCAGAAGCAGAGCAGGAAATCAGATTGGCCCCGTTGCCCTTGTGGACGTGTAAGATTCTGTCGGTCGCTTCCTTCTGCCTCTTTATGACCTTTATGAGACTGGTGTCCGATTTTGTCTTTCCATACCGCTGGTTGATACAGTATCTTTTTGCCTCTAACCTTTGATTCTTCCAGAACGCGGAGGCTCCATACATAGTCCCCACCTGGAGATTAAGGGAATGCGGGAATGCCATGGAATGCCTCATTCACTGCATGTAAGGTCATAGGCGGGCGTCTACAAAGACTGCCCAAAAGCGGGAGACCTTTCAGATCCTTTCAGTGTTCAATGGTGCGGTAGTAGCACCCTCCGTTTCTTTCATCCTGTCATATTCTGTCACGATTTGTCCATGTCACTTGGCTCCGTGACCAGGAGAAGCAAGCCGCGAGCAAGCACTGTTCCCTGGCAGCATTTCGCATCATGGACAGAGACATGGATGGCAAGATCACCGCTACAGATTTGCGAAAGATCTTCCCCAAAATGACGGAGACGGAAGCTACGCGCATGATTGCAGCTTCAGACCTCCAGGGGAACGGTATCGACTTGTCTCAATTTCGAACCATGCTCCAGCAGTACTTTACCTCAGAATCTCAGATAGACTGGCCAAAACCAGCTTCCAAGAGCGAGACGTGGCGGAAAGCAAAGCTCCAAGAACTGGAACCCCATTACTTCCGAACGGTTGATGATGACGATGATTCTCACTCAAGCTGTGCCGCTTCCAGTATTAGCAGCATTTCCCAAACATTGTCCCACTTTGAGAGTGGCTCCGACTCTGAAGACTTAGAGGAGGAGGAGGAAGTCCAAAAGGGTGGATTGCAATCGGGGTTTTCCGATCGGCAGCTTCCAGGGGCCCCGAAAGTCAAGTTGGCCAAAGCTGAAAACCTCAGAGTGGAAGCCACTGTCAAGGGTGATGCTCTCCGAGGCAGGTCGAAGACTGAAACTGAAACCCTCAGAGTGGAAGCCACTGTCAAGGGTGATGCTCTCCGAGGCAGGTCGAAGGCTGACGTAACATGGGAGAAAGGGCCGTATATCAACGCGGTCCAGCGAGTTGTTTCACTGTAGGCCTTATTGTTAGGGACCAACACAGACCGGCACTGTCTAAGACGGTGTCGCTCCGTGTCCAACGAGCGGCCCTCCAATCATGATCACGAAGGTCTCAGCATGATTTGCCTTGAATCATTGGAGCTACTTGGCTCATCCTGCCTCCTTTCCCCAAGGTTTGCCTCGATCAGCAAAAACAAAATTCGTACACACAATTCTGTCTTGGACTTGGCCTGCCAGAGGCACTCCACTAAGCAGATTGGGCTCTGTTTAGTTCCTGTGGCGATCTAGCTGTGCTCCTGTGGAGAGAAGAAGTTGCAAATGGATGCCATGAAGGCAGATGTCCGAAATGGTTGTAATGATTTCAACTTTAACATGTTTTCAGATAGAGCAGCGGCCGCTTACATTTCATTGCCATACATATGCAACTGGACTCCTACAGGCCCTATGAGGGGGAGCAAAATAGTGACCTTCTATTTTCATCTATTTTCTCGCTTCTGCTTCCGAAAGAACAGGTTACCATTTTTTGGGGTGCCAGAAGCGAGGCCAATGTTTTGAAGTTTGCGCAAGCCAAAGCTCGTTGCTGCTGTTTCCAGATCAGTCTGTAGCGCAACCTGCTGCGGATTTACACTTGGCACCTGGTCAACATGGAGCTTAAATGTTCCAGAGGAACGGCCGTTGGTTCCCCAATTTGGCACAACAACCGTTTCTGAAATAGAGGCCTGGGTGCCAGCTCGCAAGTTCCTAGCGCCTTGTGTTCTGAAAGGAGGCGGACTTCTCCTAGCAAACCAACATAAACATGACACGACTATTAGATCAATAGGTGAAGGAAAGCTGATTCAGTTTAAGCCCAGTTCGCGCTCCGGAACGCTTGGCTGCTATTCTTGGCAATTTGTTTGATCAAAATTGCGCCTTTTGGCCACACACTTCAGGATACATAGGAATCATATGGGAATCATTTCACTACAACTGATATCCGATGGTATCATCATCATCGATATTGTAGAAGTGTGTTGTTTGTTCCTTTCGTATCAGTATGACAGGTTGGCTCACATCTACTTGGAGAAATCCGACATGTCTGGTGAGATTGGAGGCCGTTTTCATCTCAGATGGGAAATCATTGACTTGGATTGACATTGAAATTTATTGACTGCAGGAATTTCATGGATGTGTTTTTTCGTGGCCCACAAAGCAGCGGTACATATTGAGATGAGATATCATATGCAACATTATGCAAGCATATCAACATATACTACTGCGATGATTTTATAGGAATATTGATATGTAATTTTGAACATTGAGCATATTACAATGAATTGGGACGCAAGATCTTAATATTGAATCATATTGAATGGTAATTAATGTTACTATTTATTGTTCACATATTTTGAATGCTTAAATCAGATGGGACATTATTAAGGCAAGATTGCCATGACAACAAACATTGGCTCCCTTGCCTGATGATACAGACAGTACAGTGCCTGCAAAGTGATTCGCGGCCTTGTCGTGATCTGTTGTGGTAGCCTCTGAGGTTCATTCTTGGATCTGGCCGCTCGTGCTTGCGCCGATGCAGTGGCTGCAGCAGGTAAAGCCAGGACGATGTTTTGGTTCTAGCGGGGAATATTTGCATCTTTTTTTCCCCCTTGGAACTTAGACGGCGTTTCCATTTTTGGGGAGGTTGCAAAGACTATGATAGACTACGCTATGGGGCTGTGCTGTGTGTTGTGATATGTTGTGATTTCTTGGCTGGGCCACAGCACGGAAACAGTGTTGGGTTGCCTCGCAGGATGCTCCGCACTTGGGGCCAAGCATGGTTTCCCAGCATGACCGCAAGAAATCCGACGTAGTTGGTGCTGTATGGTGCTGTGTTGCTAAATCATCTAAATCCGTCAGCTGTTGGTATTTCCAAAAGAATTTATGACTTGTGTTTTGGGCAGGTTTTTGAGTTTTTGTATGCCTCAATTTGGGTATATACCCATGTCGAGCTCGAATGCTGCCCGCCGAAAGGCACTTCTTTTCCGCGGTCGGGCCATGCTAAGACTGGGACGTCGCACAGAGGACAGTCCAGACATGAAGTGGTGTATGCTGCAGAGAGTGTGCAAGATGCTGTTATGTCTTAATGTTGGGGGAAGACGTTGGTCCCCTTTCGCTGTCATTTAGTGGACAAATTAGTGATTAGGTGCTCCATGTTGTTCAAACGGAGGCTTGGCGCAGTGGAGTTGATTCGGCCAACAGATGCCAGGCAATGCAATTTTGACTTTCAGTTGGAAGGTCGCAATCAAGATTGGATGAGATTGACATGTTTCCGGGTGCAATTGATGGATCAGTAAAGCATTGGCGAAGTGTACAGCAAAACCTCTGGAGGCCCTGGCAAAAAATGATGGATCGGTTTCTTTCTAATTTCTATATATCTTCCATTTTTCACTGTCGTGCACCTTGTTATTGTTGTCAACTGTTTGTTGCTTTCCTCGCATCTCAGTATGTGCCCATTCAATATGGAACCATGCAAGTACTTTTGAAACCTTGCCTTTTCACTAGTCCCTTGCCGCACAACAAAAATGAATAAATTAGAATACACAAATCACCCCGGCTGGCATAGGTGACACTGGAATTCAGGGAACTCCCAAGAGTTCAGACACATTGAGACACTGCAATGGGCCGCTTTTTTGGCACGCGATTCTCAGCATGGCAGATGGCCGGATGGCGATGGCAGGAAGCAGGCGATGGACCTGGGCTTTGTCGCGCCTACATCCTTTGCGGCGAGATCCGGTCAGAAACCCAGGGTAGTTGGAGCTGGTGGCGGTTTCAAGACCCTACAGATCGGACTCTAGGAAGCTCCGCCTGGAAGTATTTGGCCCCAGGTGTTGCAGCGTTTGTAGATGTTTGTAGTGCAGTGAGATGGGAGGATTAAAAATCAATAGAAATCAATCAAAAGAAACCATTATGCACTGCGACCAGTTTTTCTGCTGACCCTCAACTGCTTGCTCCGCCAAGAAGGGGTTGCTCTGCGACTTCGCTGCCTTTTCCTCAGGATTGAGAATGGCGATCTCAGTGGTGCGTTGCGCTCTTGGATTTGGCTGCTGCACTTCATCAGAGTTCGACATTCACACACTTTTTGTTTGGACACTGTGTTTTAAATACCGTCATGTCATGTAATGTCATGTCATGTTTCCGTAGTTATATATATATAATATATATATATATACCAGTAGTACCGCACAAGGCGGTGGCGGAAGTTTCAAAAATAGGAAACCTATAGGAGAGGTTGGTTGTTGTGAATCAGGGATGGCAGAGCGAAGCCACTGATGGTTCTGAAAGGTGCTTGATCTCTCTCACTCTTTCTATCTCTTTCTCTGACTATCTACCTACCTACCTATCTATTTTCTATGTATCGATCTATCTATCTCTCTCTCTCTCTCTTTCTTTCATCTAATTACCCAATCTATCAATCTATCAACCTATCTATCTAATCTAATCTAATCTGATCTGATCTAATCTGATCTAATCTGATCTAATCTAATCTAATCGAATCGAATCTAATCTAATCTAATCTAATCTAATCTATCTATCTATCGATCTATCTATCTATCTATCTATCTATCTATCTCTCTCTCTCTCTCTCTTTCATCTGTCTATCTGTCTATCTGTCTATCTGTCTAGCTGTCTAGCTGTCTAGCTGTCTACCTGTCTACCTGTCTGTCTGTCTGTCTGTCTATCTATCTATCTATCTATCTATCTATATATCTCTCTCTCTCTCTTTCATCTGTCTATCTGTCTAGCTGTCTAGCTGTCTACCTGTCTACCTGTCTGTCTATCTATCTATCCATCCGTCTGTCTGTCTAGCTCTCTACCTGTCTATCTATCTATCTGTCTGTCTGTCTGTCTATCTGTCTACCTGTCTATCTGTGGTGCAGTGTCATTCAGTGTATTGTAGTGTAGTGTAATGTAGTGTAGTGTAGTGGAGTGTAGTGGAATGTAGTGTAGTGTAGTGTAATGTAGTGCAGTGTAGTGTAATTTCGTGTAGTGGAGTGTAGTTGTGTAGTCGTAGTGGTAGTTGTAGTGGAGTGTAGTGTAGTGTAATGTAGTGAAGTGTAGTGGAAGGTAGTGTTGTGTAATGTAGTGTAGTGGAGTGTAGTGTAGTGGAGTGTAGTGTAGGGTAATGTAGTGTAGTGTAGTGTAATTTAGTGTAGTGGAGTGTAGTGGAGTGTAGTTGTGTAGTTGTAGTTGTAGTGTTGTGGATCGTAGTGTAGTGTAATGTAGTTTAGTGGAGTGTAGTGTAATTTAATGTAGTGTAGTGCAGTGGAGCGTAGTGTAGTGTAATGTAGTGTAGTGAAATTTAATGTAGTGGAGTGTAGTCTAGTTGTGTAGTTGTAGTTGTAGTGTTGTGGAGTGTAGTGTAGTGTAATGTAGTGTAGTGAAATTTAATGTAGTGGAGTGTGGTGTAATGTAACGTAGTGTAGTGTAGTGAAGCGAAGCGGCGAAGCGACATCTGAACCTCCAAAAGTGGTCCGAACCCCTAGTGTTTTGTACATTTTCACTTTGAAATGTGCTTCGCGCCACAACGGCGTGCACTTTTTCGACATCTGAACCTCCAAAAGTGGCGCGGACATGTAGTGTTTTGTACATTTTCACTTCGAAATGTGCTTCGCGCCACAACGGCGTGCACTTTTTCGACATCTTAACTTCCAAAAGTGGCGCGAAAATGTGGTGTTTTGTACATTTTCACTTCGAAATGTGCTTCGCGCCACAACGGCGTGCACTTTTTCGACATCTTAACTTCCAAAAGTGGCGCGAAAATGTGGTGTTTTGTACATTTTCACTTCGAAATGTGCTTCGCGCCACAATGGCGTGCACTTTTTCAACATCGCAACTTCCAAAAGTGGTCCGACAATGGTGTGTTTTGTACATTTTGACTTGGAAATGTGCTTCGCGCCACAACGGCGTGATTTTGACTTGGAAATGTGCTTCGCGCCACAACGGCGTGCACTTTTTCGACATCTCAACTTCCAAAAGTGGTCCGAACCTGGTGTGTTTTGTAATGTTTTGTACATTTTGACTTCGAAATGTGCTTCGCGCCACAACGGCGTGCACTTTTCATGTCTCATCTGGCCAGCTGGCTCCGCACCTGCCGCTTTAGCGAGCCTACTTTTCGACCCTCCGGAGCCACAAATCATTGGGAAAACACAGTGTTTCGCGACTTTCCTACCTTTTCGCGCATCTGCATCTTCTTTCTTCTGACTCTTTCTCTTTCTACTCTTCTCTCTTCTAATCTTTCTCTTCTCTCTGCCTCTGCCCTGCTCTGCTTTTCATCTGTCCATATTGTCGGAAGTTTGACTTCTAAACTTCCTTCGATAATATATGATTTTGAAATTGAATCCTTTTGCATTCTTTGATAATCAATGACTTTCCCTTTGTTTGCACTTGCACCGACATCAAACATTTTTCTGGTCAGGCAGGAGATTCTGGAGCAAGCGCAGGACATTGCCCAAAGATGCCGGGAGCACTGAGCCTTCAATTTGCCACGGTGCTCTGGGAGTTCGGACTTGCACCCATGTAGGAGCTTCCATGTGTGATGCAGTCTCATTTGCATTCGCGTACTAGTACTAGCTGCCAGTGCAAGCAGACTGATGAAGATGACATGGTTGACATTTATTGGAATTCATATTTTTGGGGGTGCTTTCCCTAGATTTATTAGCATTCTTTTCTGCAAAGCTACACTTCCCAATAGAACGCTACTGAATTCGCAGCTGCCTTGGAACCGTTAGGCACCTTATATCACGTTACAGGCCCCAAACATCAACCACCAAGGTCTTGCTGTCAAAATAAATACCTTTATGAGGCCCTCTTTGTATGGTAAGGAAATGCACGGAATTCCATGGCATCAAACTCTGAGGCAATGAGGAGGAACTTGGAAAGCAAGCTGAAGCTCTCCTGGAGCGCCAGCTTCTGAGTTGTTTCCCCCAGCTCTGCCTCTGCCCATCTACAACATACATACTGGGTCTCGTACGATATATAAGATATAATTTAAGATAAGATAACACAGGAAACCGCGATTGATGGTCATGGACTGAGAAAGTCCCCAGTAACCAGCTGCATCCAGCTACTCTATGCAAGGAATACCCCAAGATTTTCATGAGACTTCTTGCTACTGCTCACTTACTCAGCTATCCGCAGCTGCCTCTGAGGCACAAAGATCAAGGCCGACGCTTGTGCACAGCGTGCAACATGATGCCGTGAAACAACATATGCCCATCAGATGAACATGATGAACCCTGAAGCATTTCAGTGCCCGCAATTTCTTTTGTGTGATAGTGATCCACGCTTTATTCTCAATAGTTTTGAACATGCTTGAACACGTTTTTTGACATGGCTTCTGTATGGAGTGAGAGACAGCCTTTCCAAGCAGCTGAGAGAGTGTAGTGTGCCAATGTGTGCCACACATTTTGGCCAAGCCGCCAAGCGTTACAGATGTTACAGCAGGTCCAGAACGTTGTAGGAAGATTTAGGAAGTGGGTGAGGTACCATGCGCCGGGATAATGAGGGGCACCTGCTTGGATTTCTCCAGGCTCCCGTGGCTGTCCAGCAGATTGAAGATGAAGTTGCTGTCGCCAAGGCCTGGCACACAGATTTCCGATAGAGGAACGGGAAGTTACTGGCAGCATCGATAGAGCCGATTTTCATGTTCCTTTAACATGATTAACAATGATTAACATGTTTCTTTGGGCGTTCTGGGAATTCTGTGATCTAGATTTGTGCCGCACTTCCAGTCCTTACCTTTGCCAGGAAGAAACCGTGTCTCAAGTGGTGCAAACCTCAAAATATTATGATCAATGTGGATTGGAGACGGGAGTTTGCTATTCCTGGATGTTTGTCAGACACCTTCTGAAATATTCAGAAACTATTCCAGATCCTTGCTGCTGGCACATGGCACAGGGTCATGGTGGGGTCTTGATGGTGCAAGCAAACCTCTCTCTCTCTCTCTCTGCTCTGCATTTGGCATAGCTGATAGTTTAAAGCTGTCGATTTTGAAGTCAGTTGCATGATGACAAGACAGAAGGCCGAGTTATAAGGCTTGAAAGGGCCTGGTGACTGGACTCGGGAAGGTAAATGACTCTGAGACTGGCACAAGGCATCCAAAGGCAACAGCATGGGCAAACAACAGTGGGCAAACACATTCCAAGAAATGATCGATAGTGACAGTGGCAAAGAGAGCATTGTGATATTGTTTGCTTGTTGAATTTGCTGAGCTTGTAAGTTCGTCGCTCCGAAGCGTTTTACACTTGTATGCTGTCCGACTCAGGCTTCATGCGTTTACTTGCGAGCCAGATGGTGTTAAGAAAACCAACCACACGCTTAAGCCGGAGTCGCTCAAGCAAAGCTGAATAATTGGAGCCGGAGTCAGTTGCATGATGACAAGACAGAAGGCCGAGTTATAAGGCTTGAAAGGGCCTGGTGACTGGACTCGGGAAGGTAAATGACTCTGAGACTGGCACAAGGCATCCAAAGGCAACAACATGGGCAAACAACAGTGGGCAAACACATTCCAAGAAATGATCTATAGTGACAGTGGCAGCAAGTCAGGCAATACCAGGCATTGAACCGCATTGAAACGTATTATTGAAACATCAGCATGGCAAGAGAGCATTGTGATATTGTTTGCTTGTTGAATTTGCTGAGCTTGTAAGTTCGTTGCTCCGAAGGGTTTTACACTTGTATGCTGTCCGACTCGGGCTTCATGCGTTTACTTGCGAGCCAGATGGTGTTAAGAAAACCCCAACCACACGCTTAAGCAAAGCTGAATAATTGGAGCCGGAGTCGCTCAAGCAAAGCCGAATAATTGGAGCCGGAGTCAGTTGCATGATGACAAGACAGAAGGCCGAGTTATAAGGCTTGAAAGGGCCTGGTGACTGGACTCGGGAAGGTAAATGACTCTGAGACTGGCACAAGGCATCCAAAGGCAACAACATGGGCAAACAACAGTGGGCAAACACATTCCAAGAAATGATCTATAGTGACAGTGGCAGCAAGTCACACAATGCCAGGCATTGAACCGTATTGAAACGTATTGAAACATCAGCATGGCAAGAAAGCATATTGTGTGGCTGCTGCTGAGCTTGCAATTCGAAGCGTTTCACTTGCATGATGTCGGACTCGCATTCTGGTTCGTCGCTAGAGGGTCGTTTGTTCGGTGCTGTTTTGCTGGTTTGGTTTCCCAAGCAGCTCACTTTTTCGTTGCTGGATCCACACTGGATCCGTACTCCACTGTCTCTTGAGGCAGCTAGCTCAGTGGCAGCAGCACCGGCAAAGAAGGGTTCTTGCCCCAGCAGCTGGCACGCTATCAGTGTTGACACACAGGTTTTGATCTCTTTGAGCCACGGTCATGCTATCAAAATAGAAAAATCATGAAAACAACACAAAAAACAGAGCCTGCTGCATCTTGATGTAAAATTGACATTGATGCAATTCGTTGCATATTACATATTACTCTCATTCGATGCTGCAAAACTAGGCATGTCATCATGAGATATCATGAGATGATATCAGATGTGGATATGGTGGTGGCAGCACGGGGTGATTGGAGTGTCTCAGGCTTGGACCCTGTGGTTGTCAGGCATGGCTTGCTGTCCCTACTGGATCGTGCTGCAGTGGCTGCTGTCTGTTGTGCCTTTCGCTTTGCTTTCTTAGGATATGTATGGATGCTTCAGGCATTCAACAAGTGTAGAATCTGTGTCGACTTTTCATTTTGCAGACTTCGAGGAATACAGCGCATCAATACACCCTTGTCAGATCCTGCCAATGTCTTGGAAGCAGTTCCCTTGACGTGCAGGAAAACAGTCATGAAGCTTGTGCAAGATGCAATTGCATTGGCCTCAGCCTGCACAGAAACGGACGACGCGGCTAGATGGGGGGGGGGCAGGGCGGCGAAAAAATTGCACGACCCAGGCAGATGATGGTGAATTGGAAGTGGATAGCCCATTCATGGAAGCTGGTATGGATAGCCTTGGCCTTACTGGTTTGATTTTCACATTGCCGGTAGTGCGTTTCCTCAACCGATTCGTTCCAGCAGATGCGACCCTTGTTGACAAGGTCTTTCCAGCGTCTCTTTGACCAGCATGTTGGCGAAGGACAATCTCACAACACGCAAAAACGATTCAATTGAAAAGTGCCAGTAGGTTCTCATTCTCCATACAGAGTGGCCTGTGGATGCCTGTGGTATTTCTGGAAAAATCGACAAACATTGATGTCAAGACATGCAAAAATCACCGGATCTCTTGCGCAGGAGTTTGGTATGGCAATGAGTCCATCCCTGGTCTTTGACTTCCCCAACGTCAGAGCTTTGGAGGTCACCAGACATTGGTTTTCAGCCTTGTCGTGTGGGTTGACATGGGTCGAATGATGAATTACATATGTACATATTATATATATAATTATATATAAATAATAAATATATAAAATTATATAAATATATAATATAGAAAGATCATTGGACCCGACTGCTTGTCAGGAGCACCTTATCCAGGAGTACGAGAACCAGTGATGAAGGAAGCTTGCCTTTGGGCCTCTGCTTGATTGTGGCACCAAAAGCCCCCCAACGGCATTGATTACACTAAAACCAGCTAAAACCAAGACCTTAGACTGATCTTAGGAATAATCGCAATGACGTTGTGCAAACAACGTGGAATGACATAGCGAAATGTATAATTGTAACAATTCAAAAACAGACAAGAAAATCCCAGACCAACTACAGGTGTACAGCAAAAACAACAAAAAACAGAAACGATATGTTTGTAGGCATTGTTTAGGCATCTTCCCATGTGCCTGACAGCGAATGGAACCTCACCTGCGGAACTTGGAAGACGAATCGTCACATGTTTCTTCGTGGTGTTTTTTGTTGTTTTCTGAACACTATGAGTTTCTATAAATTTTGTAAATGCATGTAAACATTATGTAAACATTATGTAGACATTTGTTGGTGTGACTTGGAGTTCCGAAGAGGTGTTCGTTTCTCGGGATCTGCCGGGCAAGAGGCTTGCAGGCTGCCTCAAGTCGCTGTGAAAACTGTGAAAACCGTAGAAGCGTTTGGAAGCGTTTGGAAGCTGGTATTGTGCCAAGATGTGCCAAGTGATTTCCACATATTTCCACAAAGCTACAGTGGAAGTTCTGGCCAGTGTCCTTCAAATTATTCTGGGAAAGGGTCTGTGGACTTTGGTCTGTGGACTTTGGTTGAAGCACCAAAGAGTGGTCACTGATTTCCAATAGCTCTGAATAGAAAGACTGACACTCAAATTGAAATAAAACTGCGCAGCCATTGGCTCATGATGTTGAACAACCGCATGTTGGAACCGAGTGGTCATGGAAACTGTAGCTGTAGCATGCTGTAGCTATTGAGTGCCAGTTTGAACTCTTGCTCGTAACTTGACCATACTTGACCATCTAATGATGCTGCTCCAACATGCTGAACGGGCCCTGGATTCGGATTGACATTGTCTAATTAACATTCTATTGAGGGCTGCAAATTGAACCAGAGAACCTCGTCCTCAAACACCTTTCTTGCAGACTGCAGACAGAAACATATAAAAACATATAATATATATTAATATATTATATGAATATATGTAATATGTAACATGGCAGATAAACTACCGTGAAGGTTTGTCTTCTGAACAGGACTGCCATGCAACTCTTGCAACGCACAGCCGCGCTTACTGATGGCTGGTGACAGGCGCAGTAAATTCGGCTTTTGCTTCTGCGCCCATGCACTGTGGCCTGTCAGGGGTGCTCTTCAACCTGAGAAGGTCGGGCAGGATGAGTGCAATGATTGAATTTGAATTTGGACTTGAGATGACTTGAGTATAATTGCACACAAACTCAAAATTAATCAAAATGATCCAACAGTTTGAGAGTTACTCATTTTGATTTGTTGGAAACATTGCACACCAAGGGCAGCCAGAATGCTGCAGCCAAACTCAACCGCGAAGGCCTTCTACTTGGAGTAAATGTGAAGTCACGTGAGGTTATAAGGATGTTCAAGTCATGCAAAATCATTGTGAATTGAGCTGCTCGCATTGATTTTCAACATTACAGTATATTACAGTATTCCATTTGCGCTTTGAGAACTTCTTTGACCCTTCTCTGATCTGAAACATCAACAGCTTTCCGTGAGATGTCACTGAGGTGTCCAGGCTTTTGCAAAGGGTGATTTTCAGCAGGCTTCTTGCGGGTGATGGATGACGAACACCAATAGGACAATAGGAGATCCTCAAGCATGGTTGCAAACAATGTTTCATGAGGTTCTGATAATATTAATAATGTATGTATATAATATTAATACATTATATGATATAATATGGAAATTTGGATGTTGTTGAGGGGAGATGTTCAAGAATTACCAAACATCGAGCATATCATATGGGAATTCTTGGATGTTGCAGGTGCTGAACTCATTTTGCAAGTTTGCTGGTAAACACCATGAACAACTTGAGATGGCTTTTAGCCAACGTACTGCTCTAGGCGTGGCTGTTAGCTAACGGCCCCGAGTAGCATGGCTGTTGGATGTCCTAGGTATATATATATATATATATATATATTATCATATATTAAGGATATCATATCTCTGCGCCAGTGACATGCCAGTGATTTGGGGTCCATTTTGAAATTTGGGGCCTACATGAAACTACAACTTTGGATCCCATGCACTTTGCCAGGCAATTACTGCCTTCACTGAAGCTTTTCGCATGCTTGAGGAGGTGCCAACCTAGTGGCCCAGTGGAACATGTGGAACAGGAGGGAGGCCTCCAAGGGCCAAGCGATGATTCTGCTCACAGCAGTCAAAGGATGTCGAAGGATATTGGGCCATGTTGGGCCACATTTTGAGCATGCGCTTTGCTGCCACATGGTGACACCACAAGGGCCAATCGGCTAATCGGCTGATGCCAAACGATCTGTCATGACAAGTTGCCCTGTCAGGCGCCTGTGAGCGCTGAGGCCGGCACAGAATTTTTACATATTTCCAGCTTTTCAATATGTTTTTCAATGTTTTTCTCAATGCTTTCCAGCATTTTCCATTTTTCCTGGCAGGACGACGTCGCTTCACGTGCACGTGCCCGAGAGCTGGCCGTGAGCCTGGTGAACCGTGCCAGGGCCCAGATTGGGGCAGGCGATCCCGTGAAGGCAGAGCAGGCGCGACAGCCGACGTCATGGGACTCCCACCTTGGAACAACAATGCCTTCGTGACGCCTTCGTGGCATCACAGAGATACCTTGAGATACCTTGAGATGTTTGCAATGTTTTAAGTCGATGGAATTCAATGGATTTCAATGGATACAGGAAGTTAATGGAACTTGTGTCATGACGCCAATTCAGATAATTCAGCACCGTGAAGCGAGGATGCCCTACAAGCATCGAATCTGGTGGCTGCCTAAGTTTGATTGTAGCGACCTTGCTCCTGGCTGGTGGGAAACGCTGTCGAGATGACAAACTCAGGATCCCTCCTACGGAAGAGCCAAGACTGTCCTCGCTGAAGCATATCAGAAGCAAGGCCGGAAACATCCGGAAACGCCTGCGAACATGGTCTGACTTACCCCTCAGCATCTCCGAGCTGACAGTGAAAATGGACACAGCTGACATCTCTGAAATGATCCCAAGTACATGAATATAAGAATGGAGAGGTTACTTCAGCGAGTCAAGTCTTAATTGATAAATTTTAAATAATTTTAACATCAGAGAGAGAGACACATGAGACACTCCCAAAAATTGGAGATTGTAGAGGATGGTACTTCAGTTTAGGTTTTCAAGCTTGCAACTTCTTGCAACGAGGCCGCACCAAAGAAGCAGAAGCACTGCTGGTGTCGCCTCCCAGTGCTTTGGGGACTTTGCCGGCGCTAGGGAAAATTTTGACCAGCGCCTCCTGGAGAGCTCTAGCTGCTTACGTGGGGAAGCACAGATGCCATGAGATCATGCGATGGATGTTGTGTGCGCTCTGGCGAGGAAGACCTTGCATTCTGCTGGTGAACAACCACAAAGTATCAAATAGAAAGAGAATACTAGTATGTATGTATGTATGTATGTATGTATGTATGTATGTATGTATGTATGTATGTATGTATGTATGTATGTATGTATGTGTGTATGTATGTATGTGTATGTATGTGTGTGTATGTATGTGTGTGTATGTATGTGTATGTATGTATGTGTATGTATGTATGTGTATGTATGTATGTGTTGGTATGTATGTGTTGGTATGTATGTATTGGTATGTATTGGTATGTATTGGTATGTATTGGTATGTATTGGTATGTATTGGTATGTATTGGTATGTATTGGTATGTATTGGTATGTAATGGTATGTAATGGTATGTAATGGTATGTAATGGTATGTAATGGTATGTAATGGTATGTAATGGTATGTAATGGTATGTAATGGTATGTAATGGTTATGTAATGGTATGTAATGGTATGTAATGGTATGTAATGGTATGTAATGGTATGTAATGGTATGTAATGGTATGTAATGGTATGTAATGGTATGTAATGATATGTAATGGTATGTAATGGTATGTAATGGTATGTAATGGTATGTAATGGTATGTAATGGTATGTAATGGTATGTAATGGTATGTAATGGTATGTAATGTTATGTAATGGTATGTAATGGTATGTAATGGTATGTAATGGTATGTAATGGTATGTAATGGTATGTAATGGTATGTAATTGTATGTAATGGTATGTAATGGTATGTAATGGTATGTAATGGTATGTAATGGTATGTAATGGTATGTAATGGTATGTAATGGTATGTAATGTTATGTAATGTTATGTAATGTTATGTAATGTATGTATGTATGTATGTATATATATGTATAAATAATGTTATATAATAACATATATGATAACGCAAATATAACTATATTAATAATGTATAATAATTACAGAATGACATAAAAATAAGCAGATTAATAATGTGATATTCAACCATATGCGTGACAGTCGTGACATAGTATGCTGTATGCTTGTATTAGGCAGTGCAGAAGTTCCAAGGCGTTGCTGGCCGTCCTGTTCTTTGTCCTGTTGACGGTGCATCGACGCCTTGCCCTGGATGCCCTTTACGGGCGGCAGCCGGTCTTGGGGGATCCGGAACTGCGAGAAGTCTTGAGGCCTGGGACATCCTGGGACCACGTTGCGCCGTTGCGCATGTTGCTGGCTGCAATTTCACAGTTCGGATGACCATGGGCTCCCGATTCTGAATCATTTTAAATTTGAGCCGTCCAATTTTCTCAGTCAACCTCCGCTGGGCGTTCTCTGGCTTTCCTTTTTTTGTTTGGCTTTGAACACAAGTCTAATTGTGCTTCTAGAGATTCTTGGTACTGGTAGTATCAAATCAAATATGCCCAGATATTCAGCACAGATCAGACAATATCGAGCAGGCAAAAACAAATGCCAGTTTTTCGAAGAACGTTTCCTGCATCAGACAATCCACTAAACATTAATAATCGGATCCAGAAGGCGGCAACGGCCAGGTATACCTCTGGCTACGGTGTGGGCAGCTTTCCGGCCCGTGTGAGACCAGAGAAAGTGGAGGAGACCCTGCTGAGTTTTTCTTCAGTCCACACCGGAGTGGAGTGGTGTTAACTCTTTGGACAAATTTCAGAAAGCCCGAGTCCACCTCTTGGTTGTCTCATCAGGATGCCGCCTGGGCGATGAAGATAGCTTCCACGCAGGTGCAGAAATGTTCAGAAATGAACATGCTCAGATGTGCTCAGATATGATCGGTTCCTGGATGTTCCTGGCTTTTTCCACCTGGATCCAACATCTTGCAGTGCTTCACAACCTGTCAGTGTGCTGATAGGAGTGGTTGGCCTTTATCAAGCAGGCGGGAGCTTCCAAAGCTTGCAGGATCTCAGAGTTGAATGTCATTGCATGTTGCCATTGAACACTTCAGGCCTTCGGGAAGCAGGCACTAAACGAAGATGGGAAGCTATTGCTCTTCTCATGGGGAAACATGCCCAAGAGACTCAGCTTCAAAAGATTTGGAAGTGTACAGGTGTCAATTTTCTGCTTTTGTTCTATATATGGTTCCCTGTTCAATATTAGGTTCCCCTTTTCCATAATTTATTCAGTCATATTATATTGCCAAATATTATGCCATATTGCTAAGCTGTGTTTTATTCCTCACACTGTGTTTTATCGTGAAGTCGCGAAGTCGCGATCTCCAAGGCAAGGGAAGGGCGGAACAGATCCGTCGGCCTGGATGGGGATGCTGGCCTTTGTCCCGAAGCAGCTTGGCAGATGCCACAGATTTACCGAGCAAAGGATGGAGCCGAAATCAAATCCACAGAGATTTCGACAGATTTCGACAGTGAAGCGCTTCAATGATGTTAAACATCTGCCAAGCAAGTGATGTGAAGCTTTACCTTATGGATCTTTATGGATCTTCGTTTGCTGAGGAACGTGAATCCTGCTGTCTTGATGCAGCTCTTACCCGAGAGGGCAGCATTTGGCCGCCTGAAGCGGCTAGGGCACAGTGCTAGGCAGCAACGGGACTGTCGTGGCATGTCGTGGCCACACATGAATTTTCATGAAGTTTATAACAACATGTCACCATGTTTCACCATTTTATAAATGATGTTCATCACACGCAACATTCATTTCATTTCGTTTTGTTTTATTTCGTTTGATTTCATTTCATTTCACAAAATTATAGTTCATGTCATACAACAAATTGCAAGAATCGCTGTAATTAACCACGACCTCAGCCCCATTTCAATCCCAAAGCCTGGGTTCAACGTCAGGTCCTGGCTGCAGAAGCACTTTGGTTTGGGGTGGCGATGCCAAGATCCGCAAGATTCAGGACAAATAGGTCTTAAAGGAGCTGCCAGGAACAATCTTTGCTTGTCTTTGCTTCAATATACGTCTATCATACATAGTATAAGAATGTATATAAGAATGTATAAGAATGTATAAGAATGTATAAGAATGTACAAGAATGTATAAGATAAACTGTAGGTCGTAAATTGAGAATACTTAAGAGTCTGAGGTAGTATTAGTTTGCCAACTTGAGGTCCGCAGCAGGAGGCCTTTTGCCACTGGCCGATTCCTGAGTAGGTTTGAGATTGTGCGAAGACAATGTGCGTCTCATCGCTGGGCACCTGACCTTTGAGATCCGTTGAGGCCTTGTATGTGCAGGGTACAGTGGCAGATGAACAGCGCCTGCCACAACAACTCACTTTTGCACGTTTAGCCCTCCTGCTGGTGGTTGCCATCGTCGGGAGCCTGGAACTATCTGGAACTATCTGGAACTCTTGAGCTGTTAAGATTGGCACCGCAGCTGGGTGTCAAGGCCGCAGCTATTAGCTATGGCATCTATGTGGCTCTGATATCCTTGCCCGGTCCCCGGAGTTGTGCATAAGCTAGAAATGTGCATGTAACGTGTTAGTGAAGGTGTGCAACAAATAGTTGAGGTATGGAGGTGAAGATCCCTTGAGCCTTGTTTTTTGCTTTGCAGCAATATTGGCAATCATCGAAGTTCAGCAGCTTACTTGAATTCCTCATCCTACCATATATCCTACTGTACATCCGTCCATATATGTTCATCCATTTCTATCCATGGCATCCACCTTTTCCATCCTTTTCCCACCATCCACATCCACATCATCCACATCATCCACATCATCCACATCATCCACATCATCCACATCATCCACATCATCCATCCATTTTTTATATGTTTTCCATATGATGTTTCCGTCATGTTTCCTATCCTTTCGTAATCCGCCCAAGGCATGACTTCCGTCGTCATCCTGCCATGGCTGAGCTATCGGATCCCAGTGGACGCTTCATCGTGGCCCTGGAGAAGGACCTCAAGGAGGAGATGCCAGGGCCCCTGTTGGTCGATTGATGATTCAGTAGATATTGCAGGGGGTTATAGTTATATATATATAATATACCATGTTAGATCATGATTGATGATTGATGTCTATGATTGATGATTGATTGTGGGGGTGATAATGGATTATATATATATACACATGTTATACCATGCTTATACTTTGTTATACTGTAATAATATGTTTTTAATTGGACATCATCATCCATGAACTGGAACATGGAGGATTTAATCATCAAAAGTTCTGAAACATGGTGATTGGATCAGCAAAAAAGGCCTGATAAAACTAATTCTGTTTTAGGTTGAATGGTTGGCAATCAAGATTAACCCTGCTATATAAATATATTGTGGTTGGAAGACTTCGCTGTAGCTTACTCTAAAAAATTGGTTATTCTCCATATTCTCCTCAGGGTCTATGTTAGTTTGGGGGGATGGCAACGAACCAGCAAACTTTGGGTAGCCTTATAAACCCAAGCATATATCATGGTACAACCAACACAGTGGTGGTTTGAAACATCTGGGAACCCCTGAATCCAACGGCAAATGGCCATGGATTGATGATCAACGTGCGCATATTTATTGAACTAATATGAAGCAGCTGAAGCAATATGAAGTTATGAAATGTTATGAAATGTTATGATTCATGTTGGGATGTTAGGCGATTTCAATGCCATCTGCTGACAAGATCAGGCTTGTGCACAGCCACAGGGTGTTCCAAGTTCCTCATCCTGTTTGGTCCAAGGCACGAACTGAAGCCACGAGTGCTTGATGATGGCAAGACCATCATCACCATGAACTGGCCTTTTGCTTACAGAGATTGCGCATCATGTGTGTGTGTGTTTTTTCTTTGCAGTCGTTCAAGAACCACCGATGGTGGGAACACAAAAAACACTACACGACAAACTGGCTCCTGGCCTGGCAAGGGTTGACGGATATTCTATTGATGAATCAGTCAAGGAGCTTTTTTCAATGTACAATCACTACATACCTCAAGTAGCTGGTTGAGACTGCTGTCGTTACATAAAATGCTCCTTTGACTTATGGAACTGACCAAGGATAACGTAGGCGTCTCTTTTTTTGGAACAGATCCTATCAAGTCTGAGCGAACGCGAGAGTGAGGTTTATTCACTTGCCCGGAAATTTCTCCTTCTTTTCGAGGCTGTTGTAACTGTCATTTCGTTTGTCAGATTTGGTGCTCTTGAACAAGACATCAAGTGCAACACGTTACAAAGTCAACTCAGATCAACGAACTTGAAAGAAGCACCTTTGGAACTATCATAGGAGCGAAGTTGCATCCAGAAAGAGACGGTATTTTCGAGAAGTTCCCCCATGTTCCCCCCAAAAGACCTTCGAAATCAGTAACTGTGAGCAGTCCAATGAGTTGGAGAATCTGCGTCGACTCAGTCGACAGGCTCTTTCAGCCTTTGCTGATGATTACAAACCTGGTGGGGATCGGCTCCAGTCAGAAAGCTTAGACTGCTTAGTCCAACTGCAACCGCAGTTGCAAAATCGTAAGAAGCAAACAAAACAAACATGTTGGTCATGTGAAACATGTTGCAACAAACGTCATAGCCGTCAGAGTCATAGCCGTCATAGGTATATGTTGCTTCCCTTGTCCCAAGCCAGTGAAAGTTTTTTCAACAGCCATCAACTCAGACGCTAAGGTGTCCCCGGGGCTCAAGGTGGTGACATAAAACCACCTTCCTGGGGAGGCCTGCTGCAGCGCTGCTTTCAGGCCCAGATCACCATGCATCGTGATCCATCAATGTTTTTCAGAATATGCCATTATTGATGTGGCTGTTTATGATATCCATCAACAATATTCAACAATACTATCAATAATACTCGTACTATCTTACAATGTTGCCATTTGATTTTGATGAGATGATGAGATTGTTTGACCATTTGTTGGACCAGGTGATCGGTTTGCTTCCGAGCTGGTTGCATTTATTGCGTCGTAGTCTTCCTGGTGCTGTGCAGGCAATTGGCTGAAGACTCTTTTTTTCAATGCGTCCAGTGTCCCGTTGGAAGTTTAGCTAAATTAGCTGACCATAACTGCCATAACTGCCATAACTGCCATAACTGCCACAACCACAACGCATCACAACACTATCCTCTCGCTCATTTCCTCCAATGATTCCTGCGGCATGGCTGGATCCAATGTGCAGGTTTCTCCGCTCTGGGAGGTCCAGCTGGGCTTTCGAACCGACCAGGCAATTCGGCAGCGAAGCGGAGAGTTACAATCTGGGCACTGAAATACTGAAATTGTTGCAGCTGCGCCTTGGTTTCACAGCGGATGCTGAGTGGATGCTGAACAGTTGTGAATGTGAATATTTAATATGAGTTAGTATCAATGATAATAGTAGTTAATCAGTTAATGTTCTAATTTCCATAGATTTGGGAACTGTAAGCCACCGTGCCTGCAGGGAACCCCACCACGTGGACAAGTGATTCTTTGGGATGCATCTCGAGGACATTTTGCATCTCAGCTATACTCAACTTGCAACAGCTGTTTCTTGGAACATGATTTTCAAAAGGGCGCTGTTGCAAAGTAAGGCCCGAGTTGATAGGCCCCCCCCGGTTCTCCCAAGTTTCGCTGCCGGATGCCATTGGTTGTTTCAACCTGCCACTCTTGATCATCCCATATCATCCCGTTGCTTACTCGGTTCTCTGAGGCAGAAGTCGTGGGAGAGAAGGCAACTCTGCAGTTGCTAGTTACATCGTTACATCTAGTTACCAATTCACTGTTCTCCATGTCGCACGCCATGAACATGTTTGCTATCCACCTCATGGCCAGTATCGCTTCTGTGATCAAACGCAAACGTGTCACATTGCTGCAGATTTATCCTTAGAAGATCCCAATCCTCTTGCGCAAACTGCATGCCCTGCTCTATTGGCCCCATTATGCAGCATGTTGCAAAGAATTGCAAGCGAACCTTACCAGGATGAAAATCAGCGCCATAGTCTTGTGCGATGATGCCCTAAATCCAGAAAGAATCAGAATGGGTTTGTCTGACAATAGGGCACTCCCCAAATCCATAAAATATAATGATTGATCTCCAGTTTCACATAGGCAACGATTTTCCCCATTAAACTGTTAGAAATGAATGTATTGTACTTCTTTCTTTTGTATCCCCCCAGATCACCAGATTGTTGGTTCAATTTGGTATATTATATATAAAAATATATAATATATATGATCCATGTCATTTTATATCCAATAGATATGATATGAATTATGTCCCATTGATGGTTGAATCCCCCAGAAAGTTTTCTATACAAATTGGAGGTGTAGCTTCATTCATCCCCATACCCCAACAGTACATGGATTTGTCGTGTGTGTTCTTGATGATTTGAATCCAGTTTTGATGCCTATGTCATGTCACAACTTTTCTTGATCAAAACACATGATTTTTCCCTACAAATTGTGGATAAAACCCATCATAAAACCAAACAGAAATTGGTCAATCATTGATGGTCAAATCATGGTAAATCATGGTCAAATCATGGTTAAATCATGGTTAAATTAAATCATGTTAATTTAACATTAAAACCCCATATTTTTCACGGTCAAAGCCTCATTGTTGGTGTGCCAACCCCCCATTTCCACAGTTGCCAAAGGCCTTGGAGAAACTGGGGCGTGAAATCGCCATGCGACAAGCGGCGGCCACCAAGCTTCTTGGCCGATGATCCGAGACTCCGAGAAGTGGTGGATCTATGGTTTACTGTACATTACTGTACTCAGTAAGTACTATAGCAATTTTGCGTTTTTTTTTCTTCTGGAAATGATGGATTAACTTTGATTAGATGGCTTTTTATGGATGATGGATATTCAGCACAGAGTCTGCAGTCTGCATAGAAATATCTTGGAAATGATGAAATAGTATCGGATAGCCAACGCATGGGATCCACACTACAATTTGGGAAATTATCGGAAACTTATCAACAAAAATGGTTGATCCTTGGGGACGGTTTATTCCTGTGGATCTCCACATTGTATGGAATTTGGATGACCTGAAATCCTTGAAGTCTTCATAATTCTTGAGAAGTTTTCATCCTTTGTTGCAAGGCCCTGAGGTGCACATCCCATCATCCATTCTCGCAGGTTGATCACTTCTGCAGCTATCTCAGAGACTGGTGGCATTCAAAAGGCCAGGATTGCTGCAGCAGCATGCTGTTTGATTTTCTTGGGGCTAGGTGAAGTGGGTAATTGTCTACAATGTTCATGAATGTTCTAGAAATGGGTCGGGACTGCAACATGTGTGTCCCATTGTAGGCATTGTACTGATTGTTATCAAAGAAAGCATCACAAATTCATAATGTGAGGCGGAAGGTGGCCCTGATCCTCGCAGCATGTCGCTGGAGCGATGCTATGAGGTGGGACCATTTGGAAACAGACAGCTGTCTCTCCGCAAAGATCCACTGTGAACAGGCTGTACTCGTACCTTGGGGATCGAAAAAAACATGATATGATATGAGTATGATATGAGTCAACAATATTCAATAATCATGATAATCATGTATGGTGTGATGATTCTCTACCATATCATGCCACATTCCATACGTTTATGTGCAGGTCTTGAAACTCAACAGAGAGGATATGCGTGCTGCACAGTCCATCTCTAAAGAGGACAGCGGTGCAGTGACAGACCGGGATGGGTCAATACAGCTGGACATGATGGGACCATCTGAAATGAACATGATTTAACCATATTTAACCATATTTAACATCAGTAAAGATCCAGAATAACCAGCGATATTGGCGAACGAGCAATTCAACACAACAATAGGTTTTGAATGGTTTTGACCTGTATCATCCTATATATATATATATCGTAACGATTCGTAACCTGTATTACTCAATGACGAGGACGTGCTGTGTCCAGGAGGGAAAAGCTTGTTTGGCCAGAGCATTCCGGCTTCGCGTCCTGGAGGAGAGGGTTGTGGACGAGCTGACTGGCAGCTAGGGCATGCTATAGGAATAATTTTGACATTCCAAACCCCCGGTGGTTTCGCACAATCGCGGAATATTGCGTCACTGAGGTATTGATATGTATTGATATGCAACCCTATGCAGAAGTATGCAGTATACTCCACTCTTATTCAGCGTTTTCCTTCCAGTTGAAGCTTCCAGTTTTTCCTGAGATATTGCAAGGATCCTGATGCAGAGAAGCGCAAGGCGTCGCCGTGCCGATTTCATGCCATTTACAGAACTGCTTCAGGACTTCAGACTTCAGGAGGGAGGTTTGCAGGTGTGTCTGGCACTTTATGCGGGCATGGAATATCATGCAATGCTGTAGGGAATCTAGAATGAGCACCTTTTTCTGCTTGTAGCATTTTTTGATTGATTTCCGCTCGTTACGATAGTTTTGTGCATATTCGAAGCAAAAACCGGCATGTGTGATTTCCGGACGGGGAATTTTGTTTTTGCTGAGTATTTGTATTCATTTTTCAGGAAAATACGCTCAGATGTTTCGCTTCAAAATGTGCAAAGTGAAAAGACACCAAGAGTGACGCAATTGCGCTCACTTGAGAAAAGCTGTCAAAGCAGAAAGCCGTCAAATTATATACAATAACATACAGTAACATTTATTTTTGCTTGCTCGCTATTCGCGGATGCAGGTATGTCAGGTATGTCTCAAAATGATTCAAAATGTTGTTACAACATGTTGCCTTCTTTGCTTTGCAGGTGGAGGAGGTTGGCTTGGCACTAGATGTGCTGATGAGGACCTCCGCCGTGAACGAGAGAAACATTTGGATCATTTGGTAAAACTGCAGCTCAGCTGGTTGCAGCTATGAGAGCGTCGCGCCTTCAGGAGGATCAGTTTGAGCCTGGAAATGTGAGGTTGTCGAACAAATTGGCCAAAGCGCCTAGAAATGTTAGCACTCTCTGGTCCTGTCTTAAAAATACGGGTGCAATAAATTGGATCCGGAGGGGTGTAACCCTTTATGACATTGGAAAACGCCTTGTATAATTTTATAGGTCTTCGGTCTTTTTAGTACATAATCCCAGGATGCATGCATATGGGAACCTGATTTGTTTGTAACGGGCTTTATATATTTGATTTGAATGCCTGAACCTGGTTTATTTGAGGGAAATTGGTTTCTGCCCGGCCCAAATTGCCCTTGGAACGTGATGATTGTTTCTTTTTTGTCCCAACATTTGAGACATTTGTTGCTTGTATTTGATTTATGGAGATGACAAAACGAAACTGGCATTCTCTTGTTAATACCCCCTAAGGCCCAAAGGTCGGTTAAAATAGGAACTCCCGCGAACAGGGAGGAGAGTAGCCCCGAACAGGGGGCATGTGTTTGAACTTGTAATTTGTAAATCATTGGTGAAGTCAAGCTATTGTTGGCAGCAGCGGAATCGAACGTTTCCAGTTTTACCGTCCCAACAAAGCATTTAGTCTGCCAACCCCTGTGTACTGAAGACTACCGGACGGGGAATGGACAGGATTGCAAAACAACCAAACCAAATTTGCTTTGTGCAGGCTGCAAACCATGGACCAAAGGACAGCATCTATCAAAAGATACATACTGTACCTGTTCAGATTCTTCAGCATTGTTCAGATATTGTTCTTTGGAGGCTTTTGGGGGTTTTTGACTTCAATTGAAGAATAATTAATGCAGACTGTTACCCAACTGACCTTCCGCAGATGGATTGCCCATGACTGCACCATATTTGCCGCACTCCTTTTGCTCTGCGAACGTCAGGCGGATCAAAATAGGAATTTGAGCGACAAGAATGATACTTATCCAACAGAACTTTGATTTCAACAGCACAAAACACAGATTTGAATTTCAACCACCAAGATGGGGTTCAGGCATACAAAAGAACGAGGAAATTGGAATTTCACCCTCACTGGGTTATTCTGGATTGATTCACCATCAACCAGGTTAATTGTATTTAGGCTATCTTGACGGACGGTATTGATGGGTTTATTATATTTCTTGACGCACAGAAAGGAACCGTAATAATGCAAGAGTCCACTGAGGCATTGAAACTCCATATTTCCCATTTCGCCGCAATGGCGACGGCGAAGGTAAAAAACGCGATGTTTTTTAAAGTGAAGGAATCTTGCATCAAACTGGCTGCAGGGTACAGAAGCACAGAAAAAGTGACAGACTGAACATGTATTGAAACTTTGTTCATATTTCCCCAAACAGCGAATTCGTCACCTCAGGCATGCTCGGCATGTTAAACCTGGAAGTAGAGGCAGATAATGGCAGATAAGGTCAGCAAGTTCTTGACAGGGACTTGAATATCATGAGGGCAGAAAAGCGACACTTTTCAGTGGAGTTCTGGCAACAGGTGACTGCAAAAAACTCCTGAGGACGGGGCCTTTGGAGATGCCGAAGGCATCATCACGGGATCATCTTTCGTGGCGCTTGCCACTCGTGGCCTGGCAATTCTCTTGGGGCCTGCAAGACTTCACCCAGAATGCAGATGAATTCAGAATATCTCAGTTTGAAGCTAGTTCCAGCACGAGAAAAAAGAGCTGTGATAGATCAGATGTGATCAGATAATATGTAAGATATGATATTATTAAGACGCACCCTGAAGGAATCATTTGGTATATCTCAGCGAACCTGAATGTGCTGAATCCTTTGCAGCCCATTTTTCGAGGCTACAAACCATCTGATCAGACGATTGTGTTTTTTGCAGCGGCACGGCGGGTTGGACAGGATGCCGAGGCACAGTCCCGAAGCCCAAAGCGTCCCTGCAACAGCTGGTTGTTTAAAGAGGGTGGTTCAGGGCGATTCAAAAAGCTGGGAGCAGTATCCCTTATCCCTGACTCCCGACGTCCGGCATTCATTGCAGGCTTTGGCTTTATGCAAAATGCTGGTGGAGCGCGGCATTGACATCAACCATGGTGATGTGGCTTGGAGCGACGAAGTCAAGTTGGGCCGGCAAGATTGCCTCCAGAGCCAATGTGGCCAAGCTTGCCTCAAGAGCCACCTTTTACATGTCAAAGAGTCAAAGGCTTTGATAAAATGAGTTACCCACACCTGGGTTGGTCAAAGTTTTCTTGAAAATTCATTTTTTTTCCAAATCTGTAACCCTACATTCTACCGAATACCCGAATCTAACCTATTTTTGTTCAAGAGGCAGAAACCAGTTTTTGATTGGTTTCCGATTGGTTTTCCATTTCCATCCAGTAACGCAGGCAGCACTGCCGGCCATTCCAGTTTCATTTGAGATGTGGGTGGTGGGAGTGCAGGAAATGCACGAAGGTAGAGAGACCAAGTTGCTTCCTATCCTGTTGGGGAGATGACCTTCCTCAAGCAAACCAACGATGGGTTGATAGCTGGTTGGTGCTCTCGAACCCATTATTCCCAACAGCAGATAGTTTCAATCTCTAAAAGCCCGGGGGTGGTATCCAATCGTCTCCAAGTGTCTTCCAGTCACCCAGTTGTGTTTCAGATCTTGTCTCCCACTTGTCACCCAGTTGTCTTGCGTTTCCCTTGCAGGTGGTCTTGCAATTGTCTCCCAGTTTGTTCCGGATGTGGTTTCCCGAATGTTTCCCAATTTGAATTCTGCTTGTCCCCCACAAAGCCCAGTTGTCTCCCAGATGTGGTCCCCCAATAGTTTTCCAATTGCCTTCCACTTGTTTCCCAGTTGCCTCCCAGATTATCTCTCCCAGCTGTGGTCTTCCATTATCTACTTAAACTCCCAGTTGTATCCCTTGGCCTTGATTTTGAAACCGTCACTGCTGCTGTTGGTTTGCAAAGCTGGGTTAATGAACTGTCCATCCAAGATGCTGAACACATCTGAACACCAATTTGCCGAAGTTACACCTTGGTAAAAAAGGATGTTTGATGATGTTTGATATTCATATAGTGATGAACATGTGAAGGTCATATTGCTGAAGTAATTTGATCAGCGCCCAGATGATGTCGCGAACTTCTGGCTGAAGTTGCTCTTGCTTTACAAGGTTGATGGCGGGCAGGAAGCGCCAACCACAGTCAACCCCCTGGTGCGGGGCAACCCTCGTAACCCGATGTACGGGGGCTTGACCCGTTCTACTCACAGTCATGTTGTCTTCAATTCTTTTGCGCGTCTCGCCTTGGAAGATATTTCTCCATTTTATACGCAGACACATGTATGTCTTCCATTCTTTTCCAACAACGCTGAAAGTGGGTGTTAAGTCGAATTTCTCAGGGAAAAATAGCTCCACCTTGTGCCTTAGGGTGGAGGCATCATCATAGTGATCATCGCCTTCATCGTCATCACGGTCTTCGTCCATCATCGCCATCATCACTCACCATGATCACCCTCTTTACCGACACCGACACCGCCACCACCACCACCACCGCCACCGCCACCGCCACCGCCACCGCCACCGCCGCCAGCCTGCACCAGCACCGCCACCCCAGCCGGCAGCGCCAGCACCAGCACCAGCACCAGCAGCACCAGCACCAGCAGCACCAGCATCAGCATCAGCACCAGCACCAGCACCTGCATCAGCATCAGCATCAGCATCATCAATCAATCAATCAATCACCAACCAATCAATCAATCAACCAATGCAATCAACCAAGCAATCAATCAACCAATCAACCAATCAACCAAGCAATCAGTCAATCAATCAATCAATCAATGAAAGTCATCCTCTTCACCTTCTTTTCCCTTTTTCTCTTCCTCTTCTTCCTCTTCTTCCTCTTCTTCCTCCTCTTCCTCCTCTTCCTCCTCCTCTTCCTTGTTTGTCGTTTGCCTCCGTTTTCTACTCCTCCTCCTCCTCCTTCTTCTCACGCTCCTCCTTCTCTTCATCGCCACCACGGCCGCTACCATGACCACCATGACCACCATGACCATCATGACCATCATGACAATCATGATCATCATCTCATCGTCATCATCATCTTCACCATTTCCATCATCATTACTTTCACCGTCATGATAGTTTCTCAATGTTTCTCATCTTCACTGACCATCAACTTTGATCAATGTGGTTGCTTCATATAAACTCTACTGAAAAATGCCCGGCCAGCTGGTTTTCTTCCTTCCCCTACACGTGGCCCCAAGTCAGCTGCTGCTGTTGCATGCGATCGCTTTGTCTTCGTCTCCGGCTATCCGGGCACCAAGGAGTTACATCAAACCGCCCTCTTTTACGCTGCCCGTCAGGGACATGCGAATACCATCAGGCAGGGTCAGTCCAAATATGGTCAATTTTTTTTGGCTGTTTAACTACCCGGGCAAACGTTTATATTTATAGTGTTTTAATCCCTACTTCCTATTACTAAAACTCCCCCAAATAAAAATATAGGATTGGTGTGGCACTTCCGGTTTTGTTTGGTTGGGCACAATTGGATTCTTAATTGTGGTAATTGAGAATCAATAGGAGAACAGGGTGGTGAAGCAATGGGTTCAACCCCTTATTAATAAAAATCGATTGCCACCTGGAGGTTTTTTATTAGGGGCCCGTCTTAACAAATTTGTTTTAATATATTTCTATTTTTTCAGGTTTTCATTGGAGTATTAGGGGGAAGCTTCGAAATCCAGTTTTTGGCAATATTATATGTGCAGCTTGCGATCTTTGCTATCAGAAGTCATTTCAAGGCCCCATGATTGCTTGATCCTCAAGCCCTTTTTTCGTCTCAAGACCATATGCGGGATCTTGCGATTCACGTGTGTTGGATCGGTAGCCATTTGATTAGGACCCTCTTTGATCAGAATCATCATCAGCAATTGTACGATAGCCTGTCCACTGAAGTGAAGGTGTTGCAGGCAAGCTCCATCGTGCCCATCGGTTGATCGAAGGGTACAATTCATTGCTGGTGCGGGACGAGCCCGGGGCCTTTGGAATTTGGAATACATTTCAATTTATCCTGGCCTTTTTGATTCTTTTGATTGGGATTGGTGGATACTTTTGGGTCCGGAAATCATTGCCTACTCCTCAGCCCCGCGTTACTTTGAGCCTTGGTGACACTGCCGGCTCAAGTTCAGACTCAGACACTCCTGTGGATCCCAAGCCTGTCGAGGTCAGGACAGCCGGTCCAGTCCGGCCCTCTTCACTGGGGAAAGGAAAGCGGAAGTAGAGGATGGGTGACTATACTTTAGACGTATCGGATCCCCAAATCCTCCTCCACTTTCCGTTGGACCCCAATGGGTTCACGGAACATCACAGGTTACTGCTGTGTCGTCTGGGGCCCGGCAGGTGGGTTGCTGCAAGTCCTGATTATGAACTTGAAGTTTTAGATTTGAACAATCGACAACATGTGATCCTAGGCAGAAGAAGTTTGTTCCCAGCACACTTGGTGGCATCGGTGTATGCCTTTGATCCAATTTCTCGGGCAGACTTGCAGAGGCTGAAGCGTCAAGCCAGTACCATGGCCATAGTGATTGGTGATCGAGACCCCGAAGACATCCAAGCACAGACCTGGGTTTGCTCTGACACATCCTCTCCCAGGCTTGGCACCCCTGTTCCTTTGGAGCTTCTGGAGGACGCTGTGACTCTTGGCAGTAAGGGTGTCGTAGAAGTAGATGGTGAGACAGAGTGGATGGAAGAGGTTCCAGACGTGGACTTGAAAGACTACGCTGAAAAGCGCAAGGGATTCCTTGGAGACTCCAGAGTGATTGGCAAGCATGTTGATGCGCAGAACAAACGCTTCATCACTCTAGCTGATGCCATGACTATCATGACGCAGGTGGAGTTGAGTGACTGGGGGTTCAAAGGGCCACGATCTGTTGCCGAATATCTCACATCCATCCGGGAAAGTGGAGTTGATTTGCCATCTTATCATTTGCAATGGGTTAAGACCTCTGGTGTTAATCCAAAGACATCTCTGGTGCATGAACATCGCAACTTGGTGGAGATCCTTCGATTGGCCATTTGCCGTGACCAGTTGAACCCTATGAATTGCATGAGCTTCGAGTTGGTTACAAGACGATTGATTCAGCTCGAGATCGCCGTGAGTCGTTCCCCATCCAATCCGGAGTTTGTGGGACTGGATGTTCTCATGGAGAACCCCATCGAAGAGTCTGGGGCGGCTTCTATGAAGGCTATGGACACCTGGCTCACTGATCAGCTCAAAGCTCGTGCGCAGATTCAGAAACAGTCGAGGCTGTACCGGGAGGAGATGAGCCACCACCAGAGAGACAAGGGCTATGGCAATGAAGATGGATCGTCGTGGAAGAAGAAGGGCAAGGGCAAAGCAAAGGCCAAAAGTGGCGCTAGCTCAAGTGGAGCCGGCGCCGGGGACAGTTAGGCCATTTTTGAGTTCCTCTCACACAAGCCTGCAGTGACATGAGAGGGCCTTTGACAAGCAGGCAGCCGTGGGCACAATATCGTGCGCATGGTGACCCACTACCACTTGGGCCGGATTGGATTGCCTCTGGTGCGGAACAACTGGAAGTGCCTTTTCCACAGCGAGGTGCATGGACAGCTCAAGCTTTGAACACCCTCGCTTTGCATGATTCAAATTCAAATTTTGATACCATTCTCCGTGATATACCTCCGACTGAAACTCAGAAGCAAGTGGCTGACCGCATCTGGAAATGTCTAGAGGAAGCGGAAGAGCCACCGGCAGGCCTTGATGGGCCGGCTGCTCTTGCTAGTTTGTCGGATGGGACGTGCCTCTACAATGAGGAGCCGAGCAACTTAGCAAACTATGACTATGACAAGCTGAAAGTGCTCCACACCACCTTGAAGCCGCGTCGGCTTGCAGAGGTGTTGCCACAACATGCCAGAAGTGCCTTGCAGAGGTACCAGACCCTCATTGAGAAAAGTGCTAGTGAACTCAGTGCTGAGGAACCTTGCTCGATCAAACCGTACTGGGATCCAAAGCTTAGAAGCTCTGACTCAGCCTTGACTCGATTGATTGTTGGTCTAGCAAATCAAGGGTTGGTGACTTTTCGCACAGCTATCAAGGAACGGATTGGCATCTTTTGCGTGAAGAAAAAGACACCAGATTGGATCAGGCTGATTATCGACAATCGGAGGGTTAATGCAAGACACCATGCACCACCTACCGCACGCTTGTCCACACCTCGCAGTTATTTAGACATTCAATTTCCCAAAACCCCGACAGATGTTCCTATTGGTTATGGTATTGAGGCTGACGTGAATGATTGTTTCTACAACTATTACATGGAAGAGTTAGCATCATGGTTTGGGATCGATAGACCTGGTACAATTGAATTTTGGCGTTCACAGGGTTGGCAGCATACAGATATTTTTGATGATGCGAGTCAACAGTTCTTCAACCCCAAGGATGATTTGGTGGTATATCCTGTTTTTAGAGGGCTTTGCATGGGCTGGAGTTGGTCTTTGTATTTTGCCAATGAGAGTGTCAATTATATTGCCAATGGTATGGTGGACCGTCCTCTTCGCGAGATTCGAGATAAGACCCCACTGCCTGACATTTCATTGGGCCCTGTGACAGGAGTCTATGTGGACAATATCAGCATCATTGGGTGCGACGCAGAACAAGTTCAAGAAGTGGCAGACCGAGTCGCAGCGCACTTTGCGGCAGCGGACATCCCCCTGACTTGGACGACTGAGAAACCCCAAAGTGTTTTTGAAACTGTTGGTCTTATTTTGGATTTCAAACAGCGAACCATTAGGAACAAACCAAAAAGACTATGGAAGGCTTTTCTTGCGGGGCGGGAGTTGTTGAAGAGACGGCGAGTTTCGGGCAAGTTGGTGGAGATCTGGCTGGGGCATATGACATCTTTGTTCATGATCACTCCGTGCGCTTTATCTTGCTTCTTTCATATTTACAGATTTGTCCAACAACATCGACACCATCGAACTATTCTATGGGCGGCTGTTCGGGAGGAGATGAAGCTAGCTATGGGATTGATGTGGCTGACTAGTTCGACCTTACAATTTGATCCGGTTTTACAAGTTGATGCGGGCGATTCATCTTCAGGGGCATATGCATTATTAACTACATGGTCCACTCCATATGAGGTTTCTGAACTTTGCAAATTTCGCGAAGTCTGGCGATTCCAACCCCTTCCCCAACGTCTCAAGCGTGCGGCACTGTCAGGTAGTCGAGCAGAAGTCATCCGAGCTTTGGATGAGCTGGAGAGCGACTGGTCTGAGATTCATCAGAGGCCACAGGAGGTCCGGGCGGTGGTGCCGTTTGGCGCGGGTTTGAAGACCCGTTATGCGGATTGGTTGATTGAAGCTGCTAGGGATGAGAGCTCATGGTTGCGGACTAGTTCAATCCGAACACAACTGAAAGCGAAACCTAGAAAGAAACTTGAGATGGAGACACCAACCATGGTCATGCCTATACCTGATACTTTATGTCGTAGGGAGCGATATAGCTTGTTGTGGCGAAAGAGATGGAACAATTCACACAGACATATCAATGAGAAAGAAGCACAGGTGTGTCTCTCTTCCTTGCGACGCACAGCTTGCGTGAAGAAACTACATGGCAAAGTCAAGGTGACTCTGACAGATAACTTGTCATGTTTGTGCGCTTTGGAGAGGGGCAGAGCGAGTTCCTATGGACTGAACAAGATTTGTAGGACAGCCTGTGCTTACCAGTTGAGTTGTGGCATTAGATGGCGGTTGCGTCATGTGGAGACAATGCGGAATCCAGCAGATGAGGATTCACGTTTTCATGAAAACAAACAGAAGCCTAGCAAACTTATTTTGAACAACAAAACTCAGCATGTGAATACAGTTGGGGGCTGTGTTGAAGTGCCGGGAGGTGAACATGGTGAGGAGGCTTTGAGGGTCTCCGCGCATGATAGCGAATGTACTCCATCCCGACCTTTCAAACCCCCTGTCAGGCAAAGCAAGATCCGCGGTGGTGCCTTCCTGGAGATTTTTGCTGGAACTGCCCGGCTAAGCGACGAGATGCGGCGACAACGGCGGGCTACACTGCAACCAATAGATTGCCGTTTTGGGCAACACCACGATCTCAGGAGACGAGGGACACAACTAGTGATTTTGGGCATGATAAGGTCTGGGAGGATTCGGTATGTACATTTGGGCACACCATGCACAGTTTTTAGTAGAGCTAGACACTTTATTAAAAATCACCGTCGAGCACGAGACCGTGAACGGGATGGTGTTGAGCTAGGGTTATTTACAGCAGAAATCATTGAGACGTGCAATAGGTACAATGTCTTTTGGAGTTTGGAGAACCCAAGGAATTCACGACTTTTTGATTTGCCTTTTTTGCACCGGCTTCTACATCAAGAGGACGTTTTTCGTGTCAATATGGATTTCTGTATGTATGGCGAAGCCTATAGAAAACCTACATCTATCTTCACAAATATCCCAACTATGAGTCAACTTGCCGCTGGCTGTATTCATCAAAAACACTCGGTTGTTCTCCGTGGATCAGAATCGGTCCGGTGCAATGGTCAGAAGAAATCACAACCAAAAACCCAGCGAGCTGGGGCATACCCTTTGAAGTTGGTGGAGAAGTGGACTGAAGTTGTGGGGGAGTTTTTGGACCCCCACACACGGGACTCTGACATTTTAGGAGCACAGCTGGAACATGAACTCCGGGTTGTCTGCCAAACGGCAACGACTCGAAGCGGGTCGATTTCTCCCAGTTCTAGCCTCAGGTCCCTCTTCCAGCAGTTCTCCAAAGTCCAACCGGAGGGGTTGGAAGCCATCATCTTTGGCCAGCACACCAATGAAGAAGCAGTCCGGCGGAAAAGACGGCAATCGAGAAAAGTCAAGGAGCAACCTATCCAAAGCGTCCTTGGCGGCCAGCATTCGACAGAAACTGCCTAGACACACTGTGCTGAAGGCCCTCAAGGTCCAAGATGTGACTTTGATTCGGTATCACAATGGGGTGCAGGAATTTGAGCAGTATCTGAAGTGGAGAAGGCTGAAACCCAAAGATGTTCATTCAGTAGATATACACATGGCGACTTATTTTGCAGACTTGTGCGATGCGGGGTCGTCTTACAATAATGCTACATATGTTTTATTTGGGTGGTTGATGCTTCGATGTTCAGAGAATCTACCAGATAAGATGTTGCTCCCCCAGAGTCGAGCAGCGTTGAAGGGATGGTGCACACGATATCCACAATCATCTCGCACAGGCGCGGATCCACTTATTTGGCATCTTGTTGCATTGCATATGTGTGAATTTTCACCCTTGTTAGCAGCGGCTGCCATTGTTCAGTTGGATACATATGCACGACCATCCGAGCTTTTGCGAGTCAAAAAGCAGGATGTGATTCGACCATCCACCAAACACTGCAAATACTGGGGCATCATTTTTGGAAACTCTGCAAGACAAGAAAAGACAAAGACTGGTACTCAAGATGACACAGTCCTCTTTGATTCTACTGATCGACCATATGCCAAGCAAGTTTTACGGATGGTGTATAACCGTACACGTCGGTCTACTGATTCTCTTTTTGGCCAAACAACGCTCAGTGAATATGAGGATGTCATGAAGCGAGCACGGTCAAAAGCAAAGTTAGGGCAGTTTAGTTTGACACCTCACACGGTCAGACATTCAGGTCCTTCCATTGACAGTCTACAAAAGACCCGTCATCCGGAAGAAATTTTAGCACGTGGGAGATGGCGCTCTATGAAGTCCATTCAGAGGTATCAAAAGCCTGGGCAAATGCTTGCTAGCATGAACCGAATTGGTGATGAAATTTGGGTCCAAGCAAAAGCAGCACTACCCAAGCTCATGCGGAAGCTCCGCTCTGCTCTATAATGGGGGCTTCGCCCCATAACAATTCTTTGTTTTCTTTGGGCACGGGATGTTTCAATTTGACTGGTGACAACTGCTGAAATCCATATCCTGACAGTTGAACGATTGCAGCACGTGGTACGGCAGTCATCATTTCATTGAGGAGATTTACAGTTTCATCCAAGCAATGCACCTGTTCGGAACACAAACACCTTTTTGGAGAAAAAGAGTCCGAGTGGGTGGGCCGTGAGAATCCAACTTTGATTGACAATATATATATATATATATATACAGTAGATTAAAAAAAGGGATTTAATCAATTTGAAATCGTTTTTGTTTATTCTTAGGGTTTTCATTGGAATATTAGGGGCACCCTAATACAAAATACCTCCCAATAATAATTGATCACCGTGTCTACCATTGGGGGGTGTTTTAGTAATGGCCAGAGAGAAGATCTCTATGTTTTATTGATCTTTGTGGACAGCTCTCTGAGCAACGCATGCGGTCAGCCTGTGTAAAAGTGCCCAAACGATTTCAATCACCAGGTACTTCTGGCTTTGCGCGATGTGATTCAGGAATCCGTTTGAACATGTCTAAAAATCTAAAAACGAGGTTTAGTTTAGACATGTTTAAACGTATTCAAGCTGTTGAGCCGTTTTCCAGTCATCAGAGGGCACTTGTTGTGTTGGGCGGTTGGATTCAGAAATTTATTTGAACATGCTTAAAAAAGATGTTTCATTTGTTTTCGCCTGCTCAGTCATTTCCAGCCATCGCCGGGCACTTTTTGTGCTGCTTGGGTCCATAAATTATGATAAAGTACGGTATTCGGATATGAGATAGTTCACATATTTCGATATTATTTGTGTTTACGGAGTGTTGAAGGGCCGGGGATTGCTTACACTTACACATCTCTGGTTTAAACGCATTCTTAAAGTACTTTAAACGTCCTTCTTCATTACACAAGATTTCAATAATTCAAGGATTCTTGATTATTGTTTCTGTTAGACCAGTGCCCGGCCCAACCTTGCTATCAGGTACCTAATCAGTAAAGGTGCCGATCCGAACGTGGTGGACAAGAATGGGGAAACGGCGCAACTGGGCTGCTGGAGCGCAGAGCAAGAATATATAGGTTTGCTGTGACGATGTGTAAGCATCTTGAGCAATCGTTAGGGTTGCTGCTTGCTTGCTCATTTCAGACCCAAACTTTCATACCCCAAAAAACATCAGTTCGAAAGGATGTTTGACATTCCTAATGAACATCAGTTGGAACCCATGACATAATATGACGTGCAAGAGGGCGATGCCTGCGCGTCTGAGGATGTTCTTTGCCGTCCTCAACAAACGCACCGCTGCGGTAAAGGCGCTGCTGGAAGGCGGGGCACGTTTGGAAGTGCCTGGGCAAAATCGGGCGAATGCGGACAGCAACCAGAATTCACCCCCAAAGCTGGCAACGACCTGGGTGCTCTCACTGAGGTGGTCAACAACTGGCACCATACCTGCATGAGTGTCGCCCCCGCCGAAGTCCTGCCTGTTCTACAGGAGGCGCGGAATTCGATGATCCAGAGAGGAAGACAGGAAGACAGGTCATTGAATGGGACATACCGTACCTACATTTTCCCCAATGTGCCTAATTCTTGCCGTTGAATCAAATCGCCTTTTGTGGTTAAGGCGGCTTTACACGACCGCGGGTGACTTTTGTGATTTCAAGTAATGTTCGGACCTGATTTGTGTGTAACCCGCCCTCAAGCGAATGCTATACCCTCTTTGCAATTGAGTTTGCAAAGCTGTTCCCCAGAGAAAAACACGATCCTACATGTAAGTAAGGATGTAAATTGGCGACAGTAGAAATCTAATTAAAACGTTTTTTGTGCTGATGAACTTGCGAGATATTTGCAGCACTTGCAGTACTTGGAGTACTTGTAGTACTTGTAGTACTTGTAATACTTAATACTTGTAGGGTTCGGCATGTTGATTGCGTTACCTTTTGCACCTCAAGTCTTTCGTTAGAGGTGTGTAATAAGGGAGAGGAAGAAGAGAGAAAGTATGTCAGAAACTATGTCAGAATAGTGTGTAAGGGTGGGGATCACTTGAAGAAAGCAATTTTTCACATAGCATTTTTTTTGCAAAATGAGGTCTGCCAAAAATTCTTGCCACAATAGTGAAACTTCCAATCTAATCATGGGCGAGGTACCCGCGGTGGGGTCCTATTGTTGGAAAATCTGTTTTCAAGGGGTTCCCATAAGGTGGCCCCAAATGGCTCCCAAAAAAATCACAAATTTGAGACTGCTTTGTGACCAAAAGAATCGGTATCAAACAATAAAACAATCATAACAATATACACATATCATATTTTTTGGATGTTTGCTTAGGTGCGGGTTGTTTTTTTTTCGATGTTTTTGGATGCAGTTTTGGATGCAAGACCAGGGGCATGTCATGAAAATCAATGCTTATTACGCATGTCATTTTCGACCGTTTGCGGCGCGTCCCCTAGGGTTTTTGTCCTTCTATTTCTTCGCATGGTGTCCATTACCGATTAAATCTGGCAGCAAAATCCTGCTTCAGAAGATCTCATTATAAACCTATAGATTTTAAAATAGCAGCGCCAGGGCTTCGACGCGGGCCCCGCAGAACCGCGCGCCACTGACAGATAGATGTCAAAAACCAATTTGTGCTCTATGTCCGTATCGGTATCGTGTAGACTAGCAAAACTTGAATATACTTGAATTTGAAAATAATCATGTCAAAAATATTTCAGGCGCCACAGAAATATGTCCGCCACAGACAGAAAGATGTCAAAACCCAATTTGCGGCGCCTGACCCATGGCCGCACGCCACAGACAGAAAAATGTCAAAAAATGATTCTACAGCAAAATTTTGACATGATTATTTTTAAACATCCTGAATCCGCCTCCAGGAATAGGGAACTCCTAGCTAAAAAGGAAAAGGGTGATGTCCTCCCCCACCAACGCTTAGGGGTGCCCCGATCATGGGTTCCGAATAATTTCGACTCTTCCAGTCGCAATAGCAACCTATAGCTGCTATTATACTAATCAGGGTGCGACACTATAGTCAGGGCCACTTTTTGACGGTGGCAAACAGTTCTCACTGTTTTCAGGGCTACAGTAAATATGCCAATCCAAAGACAAGGCAAATTTTTCACCAAATTCCCTCAGATCTATGGGCGAAACTGGGTTTAACTGTTTGAAAGATCTCGCCAAAGTGCAAAGGAACCGTTTGGCAACCACACTAGGGCAGTAGCACAGCCGATACTTTCTTACACGGATTAGTCTCCTATATCATATATCTACAGTATTCTACAGTAATCTACACATATATTGCATATATATATATATATATATATATGTGGCCAACGCACGGTATTAGAACCAGGCATGGTCATTTGGATCTCCGCAGCAAGAATGGGAAAACTAGTAGGAATGCCATTGAGTTCGCTTTGCTGGCATTTACAATTATTTATATACAGTTTCTTTTTGTGGAAGTGTGTAACCCTCAAAAGTGATTTACCGAACGGGCGACTTTACCCGACCAAAACCAAGCGTTTTTTTTGATGCATGATTTCCCACTGGCGAGGAGCATATTCCAGTTGAAACCGTTGAAACCGATCCAAGGCCAGATTCAAACATTTCAACAAATTCTTGCAATTACAACAAACCGGTGTGTGACAGCTGAGGATATATGAACATGAAATAGTTGGTGCAAAAAAAACTCTACTGGGATCATGCGAGATAGTTTGGGTAAGGCAAGCAAGTAATGCATTGGGATAGTTTGTGCAAATGAAAAAACTTCTCGGTATAGTTTGGTTAAACCAAGAAATGTAGGGGGATAGTTTGGGCACACCAAGGAATCTGTGGAAATATATTGAGATAATTTTGGGTAAATCAGGATATTTGTATAGTGGAATATTGGTAAGGGCAGCCTTGGTTTCAGGATGTCTCAGGATTTCCCAAAAGGCAAATTTGAAGACACAAGGCGATGCTGAGAATTTCGAGCAGAAACTTCTGCCTTTCAGCAAAAGAGGAAAAACATGAAAAACAACGCATGGGGGTACCTGAAACCCAGGTATTTGTGCGTTTGCGATCCAGAAATTGTTTGGATGTTCCAGCTGCGTGCCTCCCCTAGGAACGCAAGAAGCGACGAAGTTATGACGAATCAGGCATGGTTCCGTTTACATCCTGACACCGAGTAAGTACCTCCCACATTGGTGTCCCTAATTTGGCAGATAGTTTTTCCCGAATGCGTAGCCAGGGTTCCCGTTTCACTCTGGGTGTCTGGCGGTTGAGGATGTGTCCGCTCGACGTTGCGTTTACGTTCGCAACCGTCCGCAACCGTCCGCAACCGTCCGCAACCGTTTGCAACCGTCCACGGGATCCCCATATGGCCGTGCCTATGGTAGGTTCTGCAGAGGTGATCATTTTTGGAGGTTTCAAACTTCTCGTTGCTTCGTTTCGCGTGGCAGGCGTGGCACTTCCTGACATTCAGACGTGTTTTGTAACGTGTCGAAAGTGGTTTTGTGTAGCAGGCGCAATACTTTCGCGACGTTTTCAGAAGATGCGTTGCATTTTTCGTGGCAGGGGCAGCATTCTGGACGTGTCCATCGTCATTTTGCCTGGCAGGCGCAGCACTTTAGACGTGTCGTGTTGCGTGTTTTTGCGAATCGCATTGGCAGGGCTGCGTCAAGCGGCGACAAGGTGCAGATTCCGTCGTATGGCATTTTCTGAGATGTGCTGAAAATTGACGGAAGCCTCGCACGAAACATTGATTTTGAGGTAGCAAATTTAGAGGTTCCTAAGAAAACTCGTAGGAAAACGTCGATTTTTAGGCTACAAAGTGTAAAAATTGGAGGAGGTCTCGCATGAAATGCTCGTTTTGCTGCTCCCACGTCTCTCGTCTCGAGTCTCTGGTTTTCCTGTGGCTTCGCCGTGTCTATGAGGGAAGCTGCAAAACCTCTCCTTTTCGTAGGTCTCCAACTGTGAAAATTGGCGGAAGTCTCGCACGAAATATTCATTTTGATGCTCCCACGTGTCTCGTCTCGAGTCTCTGGTTTTCCTGTGGCCTCGCCGTGTCTATGGGGGAAGCTTCAAAACCTCTCCTTTTTGGAGGTTTCCAAGCAGGTTGTCATGTCGTTTTGCATGGCAGGCGTGGCACTTTGTGACATTCCAACATGTTTTATACCGTATCGAAAGTGTCAAAATGGCGGAAGTCTCGCACCAAATGTTCGTTTTGATGCTCCCCCATGTCTCGTCTCGAGTCTCTGGTTTTCCTGTGGCCTCGCCGTGTCTATAGGGGAAGCTGCAAAACCTCTCCTTTTCGAAGGTTTCCAAGCAGGTTGTCATGTCGTTTTGAGTGGCAGGCGTGGCACTTTCTGACATTTGCCAACCTGTTTTATACCGTGTCGAAGGTGTCAAAATTGCAGGAAGTCTCGCATGAAATGCTCGTTTTGCTGCTCCCACATGTCTCGTCTCGAGTCTCTGGTTTTCCTGTGGCCTCGCCGTGTCTATGTGGGAAGCTGCAAAACCTCTCCTTTTCGAAGGTTTTCAAGCAGGTTGTCATTTCGTTTTGCATGGCAGGCGTGGCACTTTGTGACATTCCAACATGTTTTATACCGTATCGAAAGTGCCAAAATGGCGGAAGTCTCGCACGAAATGTTCGTTTTGATGCTCCCCCGTGTCTCGTCTCGAGTCTCTGGTTTTCCTGTGGCCTCGCCGTGTCTATGGGGGAAGCTGCAAAACCTCTCCTTTTTGGAGGTTTCCAAATTTTCCAAGCAGGTTGTCATGTCGTTTTGCGTGGCAGGCGTCGCACTTTGTGACATTCCAACCTGTTTTATACACTCCACACTCCACACTCCACACTCTACACTCCAACTCCCCACTTTGACTCCACACTTTACACTTTAAACTCCACACTTTACACTTTACACTCCACACTCCACACTTTACACTTTACACTCCACACTCCACAATCTACACTTTCCACTCCACACTCTACACTTTACACTCCACACTCCACACTTTACACTCTACACTTTACACTCTACACTCCACACTTTACGCTTTACACTCCTCACACCACACTCCTCAATCCACACTTTACACTCCACACTCCACACTTTACACTCCACACTCTACACTTTACTCTCTACACTCCACACTTTACACTGAAAACTACTCACTTCACACTTTACACTCCACAGTTTACACTCCACACTCTACACTTTACGTTCCGCACTTTACACATCTTTACACTTTACACTCCCCACTTCACACTTTACACTCCACACTGCACACTCCACACTCCACACTCTACACTTTACACTCCACACTTTTCACTCCTCTCTCCACACTTTACACTCAACACTCCTTACTTTACACTCCACACTCCACACTCCACACTCTACACTCTACACTTTCCACTCCGCACTCCACACTCTACACTTTACACTCTGCACTTTACACTCTACACTTGACTCTCCACACTCCGCACTCTACACTTTGCACACTCTACACTCCCCACTCCAGACTTTACACTCCGCACTTTACACATCTTTACACTTTACACTTCCCACTTCACACTTTACACTCCACACTGCGCACTCCACACTCCACACTCTACACTTGACACTCCACACTCCACACTCTATACTTTACATTTTTCACTCCCCACTCCACACTTTACAGTTTACACTCCTCACTCCAAACTTTACATCCACACTCCCCACTTTGCACTCCACACTCTACACTCTGAACTTTGCACTCTACACTTTACACTCTACACTCTGCACTCCACACTTTACACTGTACACTCATCACTCCACACTTTACACTTTACACTCCACACTTTACACTCCACACTCTACACTCTACACTTTACACTCTACATTCTACACTCCACACCTCACACTTTACACTGTACACTCCTCACTCCACACTTCGCACCCCGCACTTTACACTACACACTCCCTACTTTACACCCCACACTCCACACTTTACACTGTACACTCCTCACTCCACACTTCGCACCCCGCACTTTACACTACACACTCCCTACTTTACACCCCACACTCCACACTTCTACACTCCACACTCCACACTCCACCGCACTCTACACTTTACACTTCACACTCCGCACTCCACACTTTACACTCCACACTTTACACTTTACACTTTTCATTCCACACTCTACACTCCACACTTTACAGTCTACCCTCAGCATTCTACACTTCACAGTTTCCACTCCACACTTCACACTCCACACTTTACACTCCACACTTAACACTCTGCACTCCACACTCTACACTTTGCACTTTACACTTTAAATGTACAAGACTGTCTAAATAAACTGTTTCAGAAAAGTGTTCTGCATGACTGCATTTCCATGTGTTTTGACATCATCACCATTAACATACGTGTGAGCATTCGGGTTCGTGGGCTGCATCTTGTTTTCTGTCCCCCAAGGAAACCATGTCCAGCTATAACATCGCCTTATTGGTTGGTGAATATTTTGCCTTGGATCGGCTACTGCTTGCTGGACTATGTTAAACTTTACTGGTTACGTTTGTGGATGTTTTTGGGATTGGTACGACATGACCCCAACAACCCTCAAACAGGTGAATATTATATAATATCATTGGGTCTCAGGCGTTCAAACGGTAGCCCCCTGTGTCCAATGGCGGGTGGAAGCTTCTAGCTTGTGGTTTCTGCTGCAATGTTTGAATTAAAAGTTTTCAATGTTGCTGCAGGCCAAGGGGGCCACATGCCCAAGTTCCCAGTTGGTTTGGGTGAGTAGGACATTTGGATTTTCTTGAACAAATGGGGTACCCAGACCGGTTGGCTTCATTCATGGACGTGGGTGAGCGGTGAGCATGCTAGCAGGCGGTTTTACTTGCTCAATAATCTGACAAGACCACCAGGTCCGGGGCCAAAGCGCCGACGGACACCAGTGGAAGAACTACGGGCTTGGGCTGACGAATGGCCGATCAAGGAGCGAGTTGTCGGCACCTTGGATCTTGCGATTCGATCCACAAATCAGATGTGTTCACCAGCCCTCGCAAGTCCCCCTGTATTAAGTCCCCCTGTCTTACGTTTATCCCAACACTCACTGTCGAAGTTCAGCGGCCTCACAGCTTCAATTGGGGCCTTGACAGATCATCATTGACCACGGCTGGTACGCAGTTTCCGTATGTTTAATATGTATGTTTCAATCATTTTTCCCCACCTGTCAGGTGAGGGTTGTTAGATATTATGCCAGCTGGCCAAGCCTCCTCCTCCTCCTGCTCCTTGTCCTCCTCCTCTTCCGCCGGACCTCAACTGCAAGCTCTAGACTCTAGATCGCAGCGCTCCCCGCCGGACCCGAACAGCAACCCCTGGATCAGAGTGATCCCCGCCAGACCCCAACATGTTCCCCGCCAGACCCGAACGATCAAAGTGATCCCCGCCGGGCCTCAACTGCAAGCTCTAAGATCGCAGCGCTCCCCCACAGCAACCTCTGAGGCAAAATTTTCCTTGCCGGACCTCAACTGCAAGCGCTAGATCGCAATGTTCCCTGCCGGACCTCCACCGCAAGTTCCGGATCAAAGTGTTCCCAGCAGGACCTCAACTGCGAGCTCCGGATCAGAGTGTTCCCTGCCGGACCTCATCCACAAAGAATCTCCGAACATATCCCAGAAAGAATGTCAGAATATATGCCAGAAGGATCCCCTTGGCAATTTCCACACTAGAAATGGATGACTTGCGCATAGTCTAAGCCGAAGCGAGATCCGTAATGTATTGGAATTTCAAAATTGGAGTCAGGCTAGTCAAATTATGGTTAAGGGGTTGGTCTGAGCATTTTATTGGCCAGGGAGATCCTGATGATTTTTAGCATGTTAAAATCGCATTCTAATTTTATTGCAAAACATTGAGTGTGTGGAGCAGTTTATTGCAGAATGGAACCAGTGCTTGTCCAGGATCTCTTTATATCGTTTTTATTGGGCATATCATTTTAGATGAGCGAGAGACCTCTCTTGGCACTGCAGCCCTTTATACGAACTGCTGACTTGGGAATTGCTGACGAACTTGGGTTGCTATGAACTGCTGACTTGGAATGTGGCCATGCTACAAAAGGCACATGAGAATGCCACCGTATTTTGTTTCTATAGAATGCCATAAAAGAAGAAAAACACAATATTTGGGCACCTTCACTCTAAAATACCTCTATATATCTGAAAAGAATTTCCTGACCCCTTTTTAAAGAGGCGTTTCTGAGGGTCTTCGAACTTGGATGAAAATTCGGCGTGAATTTGCCGGAAACGCATTTTATAGCAGATCCAGTTCTCATTGTTTTTGTGCATTTTCAAGCCTGAGGCCCTATATGCACAAAAGCTAGACCACTCTAAAACTGCTGCACATTATCACATACTGAGTTGGCACTCGGATCCAGAAAGTATATCAGAATAGATGCCAGATACAATGCCAGAAAGAATGTCAGAGTATAATATTCCAGAAAAGAAAGATTTCCAGATCGTATGTCAGAAGCTATATCAGAATAATGCATCAGGGGTGGGGATCGCTCGAAGAAAAGTAATTTCATTCTTGTATTAGCTACAGTCTATATACTTTTGGGATGCGTCAAAGCCAGAATGAACTTGGGGACTGGTGGCTCAACCCCCAACCAGATGATTGCCGGACCGGGTTTCCCAAGATCATCACAAGCTCTCCGGTCTAGAGCCTGTAGGTGGGTTGGTCCTGAAATATACCCCAATCACTGGATGCTCCCACTACAAGCAAACATGTTTTGGGCGGATGGAGGTGATGATCTCAAAAGAAATTTGTGGTTTACTTAATTTATGTGGCACTACTGACTCCTTTGCCAGAAGGCCCACAGGTTTTGGGTCTCTTGGAATAGTTTGGCATCAGATGGCATTAGTGGATATTTGTGGGCAATTTTGTGGGCGTAAGATGCCCTTGCTACTTGCAGCCATGTTTCGACCATTGAGGCAAGGAAATCAATTTCCGACCAGAGGACCGATGGAGAGTCCAGGGGACCCATCTTATGAATCATAGCCGCAGTTTCTATTAAGCTGCACTGATATCTATAACATAATATACATACCAGTAGTACCCGCACGAGGCGGGGCGGAAGTTGCCTTAAGGATATATAAGAACTTTCTCATCTATAGAACTTGCATGCGCAGTGCACCAGCCAAGCCCGTGCGTGCCTGCACTCTGCGAAAGTTGTGTCCTGTTTGACATGTCACATTTAAAGCTCCACTTCGTACTTCACACTCCACACTTCACTTTTCACACTGCACTCTTGGCACTCCACACTCCTCACTTCACACTCCACACTGCACTCTTCGCACTCCACACTTCACACTCCACACTTCACACTTCACACTTCACACTTCACAGTCCACACTTCACACTTCTCACTTCCCATTGCTTTCTTCACACTGCACTCTTCACACTTCACACTACACTCTTCACGCCCCACACTTGACACTGCACTCTTCACATTCCACACTTCATCTCATCTGAGCTCTTCTCACCTCATCTCCTTCTCATCTCATCTCTTCTCATATGTCATCTAAGTAAGTTCTTCTCAACTGTTTTCATCTCATCCGAATACTGATCAACCTTTCTAATCTCCTTGAAGTTCGTCTCACTGCATCTTGGCTGTTCTGCGCGCCAGAAAGCTCTTACTGTCAGAGAGAAGTCTCTTGCACAAAAAAACCATTGGGCGCAGAAAAAAGTTTTTGCACACAGACACTTTGAGACACAGATTCATTTACATACGAAAGCCTTTCCGACATACTTTGTACTACAAAGCTTGCACAAAGCACTTCCCAGTACTACTTTGTACTACAAAGCTTGCACAAAGTATTTCCCAGTACTACTTTGCACTACAAAGCTTGCACAAACTACTTCCCAGTACTACTGTGTACTACAAAGCTTGCAAAAAGTACTTCCCAGTACTACTTTGCACTACAAAGCTTGCACAAAGTATTTCCCAACATTACTTTGTATTACAAAGCTTGCGCAAACTACTTCCCAGTACTACTTTGTACTACAAAGCTTGCACAAAGTCATTCCCAGTACTACTTTGTACTACAAGACGTCCGGTACTACTTTGTACTACAAAGCTTGCACAAAGTACATTCCAGTACTGCATTGTACTGCAAAGCTTGCACAAAGCACTTGCCAGTACTACTTTGTACTACAAAGCTTGCACAAAGCACGTTCCAATACTACTTTGTACCACAAAGCTTGCGCAAAGTACTTCCCAGTACTGCTTTGTACTACAAAGCTTGCACAAAGCACTTCCCAGGACTACTTTGTACTACTAAGCTTGCAAAAGCACGTTCCAGTATCATGAGTTCAAGCACTGAGTTGAAGCAGTACATCTACCAATCTACCAACTGTCTACGAAGAAACAGCAAATTTATGTACTGGGTTTGTATGGCTTCTTCAGCGGCGTGGATTCCATCAAGGCAGAAGCCTTCTGCTTCTGTCCGGAACGAAATGTCATTTTGGTGCTTCTCTCCACTTCTGCCATGTGCAGTTGTTTTGCAGCTTCGAGTTCCATCTCAATGGTGAACAAGCGGCAAGCAGTGAAGATTTTGCTCCTGTCCTCAGCTTGTGTCAAGGAGCCGACAGCATAGCGCGGCTTGCCATCTCCCATGTTGTAAGCAAACATGTCTGCCAGAGTGCGCACGGCTTCCATCACAAAACCAATGCTCTGGGCATTGCAGCACGAAAGCACCACCTCGTGTCTAACGCGAATGATTCCCTCAAAGGGTTCCGGGGTTGGCTTCGTCTTGGCCACGACCAGCATGCAAACCTGATCTGGAGTGGACCTAGTTGGGGCGTGGCGCAAGCCACCAGGGGTTTGCACAAAATCGTTGAGCCACTCCATGCTGCGTCGCTTTCTGCGCCCCCAAAATCACATTTGCACGGCAGCGGAAAGGCAAAGAGACATGTCCGTCCGATGTCAGACAGTGAGTGTAAGAAACTCATCAGTTCGAATTATAGAGGCACCCAGTGGCATCAGCCAAGTCACAGGTGTATACAGCACCTCGGCATCACGTTCCAGTACTACTGTGTACTACAAAGCTTGCACAAAGCACTTCCCAGTACTACTGTGTACTACAAAGCTTGCACAAACTACTTCCCAGTACTACTGTGTACTACAAAACTTGCACAAAGCACTTCCCAGTACTACTGTGTACTACAGATCTTGTACAAACACGTTCCGGTACTACTGCGTACTACAAAGCTTGCACAAAGCACTTCCCAGTACTACTGTGTACTACAAAGCTTGCACAAACACGTTCCAGTACTACTGTGTACTACAAAGCTTGCACAAAGTCATTCCAAATACTACTGTGTACTACAAAGCTTGCACAAAGTCGTTCCGGTACTACTGCGTACTACAAAGCTTGCACAAGGCACTTCCCAATATTACTGTGTATTACAAAGCTTGCACAAACACGTTCCAGTACTACTGTATACTACAAAGCTTGCGCAAAGTCGTTCCCAGTAGTACTATTATGTACTACAAAGCTTGCACAATCACGTTCCAGTACGAGGTGTTGCAACTTTCCCCATAGACACGGCGACGCCAGAGGACAAGCAGAGACGGAGGTTTTGCAGCTTCCCCCATAGACACGGCGACGCCAGAACGAGGCTTTGCAGCTTCCCCATAGACACGGCGACGCCAGCGGAGAAGCAGAGAGTGAGGTGTTGCAGCTTCCCCCATAGACACGGCGACGTGTGCGCAGCAAAACGAACGAGGTTTTGCAGCTTTCCGCATAGACACGGAATTAACGTCGCGAAAAACGACGCGAAAAAAGACGCAAAACGTCGCGCCGACCAACTGGAGGCGAAGAAGGGAGATCCCCAGACTATAAACGGGAACCCTTTGCTACGCATTCGGGAAAAAACCAAAAATGTTTGAGAATTTGTGCTTTAGAAAATGTGTCCGATAGTGGCTCCGAGTACCCCCCTAAAAAAATGGCCGATGCATTTAAACTTTTGCAATCGATTATGGGGCTCTGGACCTGGATTATGGGTCTTCCACATGTGGTTTCATGGACCTTTTTCTTTACATAAATCAACCTAAATCAACCCTTCCTTTGAAAGGTTTTGATGTTAATACAGGTAGCCTGCTAAGATTGCTAAGATATGACCATGCCGACAACTAAGATTCCTTCGACCAATGAGATCATTGGCCCGCAATTCTTATTTAACCAATTGGGACCCTTTAGCCCTTTAGCCGCTAATTGGGAACCATGTTCTTTCAAACCCTTTTCCAATTCTATTGACGCAAAAGGATGTCCAGTCCAAATTTCGAAACAACATCATTCCTAAATCGAAATTCTGTTCAATGGGATCCCAGATCAAACAACTTTAAAGTGATTGCATTTTACATCTTCAGGATCTAATTGGGATTAACTGGGTATATGGAGGCAGCAGCGACCGAAAATGGTACCAGACACATGCCTTTTGAACTATAGTAAAGGTGCATAGAGCCAACGAATCAAGATAGTAACAATCCCCAAAAAAACTCAAATTTGTCAAAGGTTCAATTTTGTTAGGATCTAAACCTTAAATTTTTCAGCAACTTATTTTACAGACTTTGTGGACCTTTTTTCCGTTGCGGACGATTATGGGGCATGAGACGTCCTGAGATCTGCTGAAAAAAAAAAATTCGGCGGAACTTTTGGGGGCCTGTGCCCCTTGATCGGTTGCATTTGTTTTTTTACGGACTTTGTCCGTCGGCGGAACTCCACTACACAAATTGTGTACCTGACTTCTGCTGGGAAAAAAAAAATCGGCGGAACTTTTGGAGGCCTCTGCCCCTTGATCGCTTGCAATTTTTTTTACGGACTATGGTTTTTTTTGTTTTTCGGCGGAACTCCACTACACAAATTATGCACCTGACATCTGCTGATTTTTTTTTTCAGCGGAACTTAGTATTCAGACCTATGGTTCGGCGGAACTCAACATCACAAAATGTGTAGTGGACTTCTGCTGATTCAATGGTTTTCCCTAGGATTTCTGCTGAAAAAGTTTTTTTTCGGCGGAACTCAACATCACAAAATGTGCGCCTGAGTTCTGCTGATTTGTATGGATTTTCGGCGGAAGTTCATAAGTTTAGTAACAGAGCGTCCCTGCAGCATTTTCTCTCACTGGCTTGTTACTGACCCAGCTGCAATGGATGCAATGGAAGAGGATTGGAGTGAGCCTGAATTTCAGGACACTGAATTCAAAGTATGCCCCGTTTAATTGATGGACTCTAGGTCCTCTAACATATATTCTCAAGTTTTTTGGGAATTAAATCTTGTATGGGAAATATCACCCTGCCACATATATATATATAATATAAATATCATACATATATACATATATGTGTTTCTATCCAGGTATGTACACACCGACACATAAAAGACATATGTGTATATGTAAATATATGTATATATATATATATATATGTTTGTAGGTCTGACATACGTACATATATATATATATATGTATCTATGTGAATATATACTTATGAGTATACATATTTCATCGGATTCAATATGAATTCGACACACACACATATATATATATACAACTGTCTATATCTATCTATCACCCTGAACCACCTCTTGGTGTGTGTGTGTCTGCGGAGATGGGAATGCTGTGTTATTCTCTATTATCTTAAATATATTTTAATCAGTTATATTTAGTATGAAGGAAGTATATGTTGGTATTATATCACATGACATATATATATATGATCTAAATACAAATACACAAACACATATATATATATTATATAGTTATATAATCATATACGTGTACCTATATACATATATATAAATATATTTATACATAGCTATAATTTCGTATGGGTATAATATGGGGCTCAAAGGATCCAAATTGATGTCCCCAAATCAAAATCCCAAGCCCCATAATTGACTGCAAAAGTTTATTTTCTGGAAGATTCTAAGACATTTCCTAGATGGTTTTAGCGAACCGGGAGTTTAGGAATGAGGCTTCTCAGGCTCCCCTCTAATTCGGATGGGGGGGTGTATATATAGCTTTTTTTCAAAAAATACAATAGAATATATATATATAAATAAACATATGTATAATATATACACACATGTAGTATATATGTTATATATATATGTTATATATATATGTTATATATATATGTTATATATATATGTTATATATATGTTATATATATATATGTTATATATATATATGTAAAATATATATATATATATATGTATAATATATATATATGTTTGTATGTTATATATATATATATTGTATATATATAAATCACATACATTTATATATATATATATGTATTATGCATATATATATATATATATGTATGTATGTGATTTATATATATATATATATACAATATATATATATGTATAATATATATATAGTATGTATAATATATAAATAGAATATATGTATAATATATATATATATGTATGTATGATATATAAATATATAAGTATAATACATATGTATATGTAAAATATTCATATATATATATTGATATATGTATTATCTGTATATATATTTATAAATATGTATTATTTACATTGCATATTTTTTTTTATTATGTATAATATACAAATGCAATATATTTTCATTTATATATGTATCATGTATATATATATATATGTATAACATACATATATATATATGTAGAATATTTATATATATGTATATATATATACATATTCATATGTATAATATATATATGTATAATATACATATATATATTATTAGGTGTATAATATTTTTTTACGAACAGATCTACAGGACAGATGCGCACACGACATGCATACTGATGGATTCATGTGTCCATGTTGCGTGTTCCAGTCGGAGGATGTCGTCGCTGTCAAGAGCACCGGCCTGCAGAGCACTGGCAACACTGGAGAGTATGTAGTTCTCCGCAAGTGCCCTGCAGAGTCTGCGGCAAGACTGCGAGTATCGGAGAAACACTTCGTAGCAGACCACGCCCTGCTTCTTGCTCAGCGATTTGGACGTGGGCCATGTCTGGATAACTCTACATCAAATGTTGGGCCTCCAGAAATGTGTGAGAACATCACTACAGTAATTGGTCAGGTTCCAGCTTACAACAAATAACTAATTTGGGTTTCCGGCACTCAACAACGCAGTCATGGTTGAGAACGATTGGAGACCAAGCAGGGCAGCTGAGCACAGTGTGCTGAAACATTTGGACATGTAGGGGCCAAACTTGCAATGGTGCTTATGCGCACATCCAAGGATGATGAACAAAGAGCCATGGTTTAGACACCTCAAGCCAGAGGACGTGAAGAAGCTTGCGGTGTCGGATCAGTTTCCCACAGCTGTTTTTTAAGTGGAAATTTAGAGGAACCTGTGCATTTGGATGGTAGCCAGCACACCCAAGAAGCCCACCAACCATCATCCATCAACCAACATGGCCCAGCTTTCCAGGACTGGTGCCAGCACCTGGGCGTCATCACAGACGCCGGCAATGCAGTCGAAGGTATCAAGGCTGGGAGGAAACGTTCGCGGCATGGCTCTGACTGACTGATCCCGAAAAGGGATGAACATGAAAGGGGCGCTTAAGGATGTTTTAAGGGTCATCGTGATCTGGGGCAGGGGTATGTACAGCTGTCACCAGCGTGAACAACAAAAAGATGTCAACGTCAACAAATTGGGATTTCGTCAGCAAGCACAAGATTTGTGTTTACCAGAAGTACCGCACAAAGCGGTGGCGGAAGTTTCAATTATAGACAACTCTAGTGAATTTTTTGTGATGCATGGACGACAGGGCGAATCCACTGATGGACTGAGAGGTGGCTGGAATTGTTGTCTTTCCAGTGGTTGCAGTGGTCACCCCACCCACAACTCCTGAATGTACAGTAGTGTGTAGTGGTAGTGGGAGCAGTAGCAGTACTAGTAGCAGTAGCAGTAGCGGTAGCAGCAGCAGTAGCAGCAGCAGTAGCAGTAGCAGCACCAGCAGCAGCAGTAGCAGTAGCAGGAGTAGTAGTAGTTGTAGTTGTTGTAGTTGTAGTGTAGTGGTAGTTGTAGTTGTAGCTGTAGCTGTAGCGCAGTTGAAGTTGTACTTGTAGCTGTGGCTGTAGTGGTAGTTGTGGTGTTGTGGTAGTTGTAGTTGTAGTTGTAGCTGTAGCTGTAGCTGTAGTAGTAGTAGTAGTAGTAGTAGTAGTAAGTATGTAAAGTAGTGCCCGCGATCCATTCGTAAGTTTGTTTGTTGTTAGTTGTTGTATCGTTGTCTTCGTCAGTTGTCTGTAGCTAGTGTCGTCGTACGTCCGTACGTAGTGTGGTCGTCGTCGTCAAGTAGTAGTAGTCTTAGTGGGTGTGTCTTAGTACTTTCGAGTAGTCCCGAAGTAGTCGAGTAGTCCGGTAGTCGTGTAGTAGTAGGTATAGTAGTAGTAGTAGTAGTCTTAAGTAGTCGCTAGTAGTAGTAGTAAGTAACGTAGTAGTAGTAGTAGTAGTAGTAGTAGTCGTCGTCGTCGTGTGTCAGTAGTAGTAGTTGTATAGTCCGTCGTCGTACGTCGTCGTCGTGTAGTAGTAAGTAATTGTGTAAGTATATCATTAGTCGTAGTGTAGTCGTTTGTGGTTGTAGTAGTAAGTAGTGAGTTAGTTAGTCGTGTGGTCAGTATGTAAGTAGTAAGTAGTCGTCGTCGTCCGTCGTCGTCTTCGGCGTCGTCGTCGCGGCGTCGGCGTCGGCGCGTCGGCGGCGTCGTCGGCGTCGGCGCGTCGTCGGCGTCGGCGTCGGCGTCGGCGGCGCGTCGTCGTCGTCGTGGTCGTCGTGTGTAGGTAGTTGTAGTCGTCCGAGTAGTAATAAGTAGAGTACAGTAGTAGTGTAGTCAGGCAAGTAGTAGATGTATATTAGTCCGTAGTAACACTTAGTAGTAGTATAGGTGTAGTACATGATTTGCTTTGTTTGTTGTTGTAGTAGTAGTATAATAGTAAGTAGTTGTAGTGCGGAGAGTAGTAGTAGTAGGACGTATATAGCTAACGTAAGTCGTAGTCATTCGTAATTACGTCCTAACCCGGCAGTCACTGAATGCTTTTTTTTGTTGTGTGTATATACGAGTAGTTTTTGTTGTTGTTGTGGTAGTAGTAGTAGTAGTTGTTGTTGTTGTTGTTGTCGTTGTCGTTGTCGTTGTTGTTGTTGTGGTGGCTGTAGTGCAGTTCAAGTTGAAGTTGTACTTGTACTTGTGCTGGAACTTGTCGTCCTAGCGTAGTTCTAGCTGTAGCTCAAGCTCTAGCTATAGTGTACTGGTGGCTGTAGTTGTACTTGTAGTTTAAGTTTGATTTGTAATAGTAGTGTTAGTTTCAGCACAGTTGTAGTTGTTGTTGTACTCGTAGTGTTAGTTGTAGTGTAGTTGCGGTGAAGTGTTAGTTTAGAGTTTTGTAGTTTGGCGGTAATTATAGTTGTAGTTGTAGGTGTGGTTGTAGTGTAGCGTAGCGTAGTCGTAGTTGTTTGTTGTCTATCTGTTTATCTCTCTATCTGTCTATCTATCTATCTGTTTGTTTATCTATCCACCTCTCTGTCGGTCTATCTGTCTCTGTATCTGCAAGCTTGAAAATGAAGCTATTCTGCAAGACGTCCTCAAGTGTTGAACTTGACACCATCAAAAAACGCAGCCATGCTGCTAGACGTCCTCAATTTTTGAACTTGACAACGTTAAAAACGAAGCAATTCTGCCAGACTTCCTCACTTTTCGAAGTTGACAACATCCAAAACGAGGCTGTTCAGCGAGACTTTCCCACTTTGTGAAGTTGACAACATCAAAAACGCAGCAATTCTGCGAGACCTCCTTCAACAATGGAGAGTTGAGTGCAAAGCTGACAGCCTCGTACCAATGTGTTTTTGCGATTTTGCCACTCCATGTGTTTAAAGTAATGCGCCTGCCACGAAAAAGTGATGCCAAGTGGTAGGGAGTGCCACGCCTGTCACGCAAAATCATCCAAGCAAACCTCAAGATTTGATTCGGCAAAATACAGCCGTTCCAGGAAATCAGCGCCGAACATGTCTGACTCATGTGTCTCTTGTGCTGCATCTGCTATGCGGAATGCATCTTTGCAGAGCCTATCAGAGCCTCGTCAAATGTCCTAGGCCGCCAACGTTCGGGAGGCTACTACAAAACCCTCGCGTTTTGCTCACTTTTGGCAATGTGCAGAATCCCTTGCGCCTGCCACGAAAAACGCTTCAACGTCCAAAACTGGTCGGTGCATGTGGTGCTTTTACCATTTTTGACTTCGACATGGTTCGACAATATTCGACATGTGCTTTGCGCCACAGCGGCGTGCACTTTTTCAACATCCCAACTTTCAAACGAGCTCCGACACTGAGGCGCTTTTTGATGCTTTTTGCGCATTTTGACTTCGAAATTTTCTGTGCGCCACCATGGCGTGCGCTTTTTCAACAGCTCAACTTCCAAAAGCTGAGGCCGTCGGTTTTTTCCATGTTTTCACTTCGACATGTGTTTCGCGCCACAACGGCGTGCATTTTTGTCAACATTTCAATTTCCAAAAGTGCTCTGAACCTGACAGGTTTTTCACAGTTTTGACTTGGAATGTGCTTCGCGCCACAACGGCGTGCAATTTTTCATCTCTCATCTGGCCAGATGGCTCCGCAGCCGCCACTTTAGCGAGCCTCCTTTTCCACAAAACATAGAAAACACATAGTGATTCAGTGATTCGCGAGTTTTCTACCTTTTCGCGCACCTGCATCTTCTTTCTGCTGACTCTTTCTCTTTTTCTGATCTTCTTTCTTCTTCTCTTCTCTGACTTTTTCCACGTCTGCTTTTTCATCTGTCGGTATTGTCGGAAGTTTGACTTCTAAACTTCCTTCGATAATGTGTATCTATTTTTTATTTATCACATACATATGTTATATAACTTATATAACTATTAATTTGCTCGTATTTACTTGGTATTTGTATCTGCTCGTATTTACTTGTGTCTATATACTTTCGTTTTGTTTCTGTTTGTATACCTATCTTTCTGTCTATCTATCCATCCATGTTTCTGTATTGGTATCCGCGATATAAGATATAGCAATATTTGCCTACATGCACATATTAAATATTGAACATGTAGAGTCATGTAGATATACATATAATATTCGAATTATTCAGTTGTTCCTATTATATGCTTTCATCTTCGCATATATACATGTGTAGACACGGATTGATGCACGCGTGAGTCCGGAAATCCAAAACAGTCATCCATCCGCACATCCACATCGGTTGTACATGTGTGTTCTTGCCAATAATTTTGGAGATTTGAGTCCTTCATAGACATTTTATAGCAAGTTCCTCAGCTATACATGCGAGGCAAGTTCAGCACGAATGCAAGGAACACGCTCCAAACAAAACCCAAAAGTGCCTTTGAAGTACTCGGATGCCGTTGGGGCCCTTCATTGGTAAAACTCTGCCGCCCAGGCCGTGGTGACTGGCAACAACCGCTCGCACTTCACTTTGCCTTTGGTGCAGACGGGGACCAGGTGTATTGCGGGGTATGTGCATGTCGCTTGGACGGGCCCGGTGCTGATGTTGTTTTCTGATGTTTTCTCTGCCTATAAAAGATGTTGTATTCAAATGTATTCAAATTTTGATCTTGTGGTGGATTATATCGAATTCAACATCACTCACATCTTTGCGTTTCGGGGACCATCTCCAATAGCCAGAGGTGATGTTTTAAGATCCCCAAACTCACAATTTTGACCAGTTTTGAAATAATTGGGGAGGCTTGATATAGTGTCATGATCTCTTGAGATGGCGATGGAGAGAGAGAGAGAGATAGATAGATAGATAGAGAGAGAGAGATATATATATATAGTGTCATGTTTGTCGCTTGAATTCTCCAATCTGTTCATGCTGCTTTCTAAGGCGGCCTATTCTTCCGAAGAACAAGAACTCAGCATCGCACATGTGAAGGCAGTTTGGTTTTTCGAACGTCACTTTTTGCCCTGTTGGTTTCGTTTGTCAAACATTCCTTGTTGTTCCCGCGCCTTGTTTGAGATACCGGAAAGTGCCCTTTCGTACCGAAACAATGACTGGAAGACCATCATTGTCCTATAGGAATGTTTGTGGGATGCAGAAACAATGAGAGATCAAGGTTGTGAGGTGCATCAACGAATGAACCAGTTTCAGTTGCCAATGAAATGGCATGAAATCAACGACATGAAAGAGTCATGGTTGCCATTGCAATGAGTCTAGCAACCGCCAACCCCACACACAGCACAAGAGTGCACCATATGCTCAAAAACCATCAAAAACCACCTTTGTCGCAGTTTTTACAAGCGTTTAGCTGCAATCCTGCATAGCAGGAGAGCTGCAGCTCTTCTTCCTCTTCTTCTTCTTCTTTTTCTAATTCTTCTTTCCCGAATGCGTAGCAAGGGTTCCCGTTTCACTCTGCAGGTCTGGGGGCTGAGAGTGTGTTCGCTGGACGTCGCGTTTCTGTTCGCAACCGTTCGCAAACGTTGGCAACCGTTCGCAACCGCTTGCAACCGTTCGCAACCGTTCGCAACCGTTCGCGCGATTGCTCCATGGCCGTGCCTATGGTAAGCTCTGCAGGAGGGGTCATTTTGGATGTTTCCAACGTTTCGTTGCTTCGTTTCGCGTGGTAGGCGTGGCACTTTTTGTGACATTCAGACGTGTTTTGTAACGTGTCGAAAGCCGTTTTGTGTGGCAGGCGCAATACTCTTGCGACGTTTTCACCAGATACGTTGCAGTTTTCGTAGCAGGCGCAGCACTTTGGACGTGTCCAGCGTCATTTTGCGTGGCAGGCGCAGCACTTTAGACGTTTGGTGTCGCGTGTTTTTTGCAAATCGCACTGGCTGCGTCAAGTGGCGACAAGGTGCAAATTTCGTGGCAGGCGTGGCAGTTTGTGAGATGTGCTGAAAATTGACGGAAGCCTCGCACGAAACATCGATTTTGAGATAGCAAATTTAGAGGTACCTAAGAAAACTCGTAGGAAAACGTCGATTCTGAGGTTGCAAAGTGTCAAAATTGGAGGAAGTCTCGCATGAAATGCTTGTTTTGATGCTCCCACGTGTCTCGTCTCGAGTCTCTGGTTTTCCTGTGGCCTCGCCGTGTCTATGGGGGAAGCTGCAAAACCTCTCCTCTTCGAAGGTTTCCAAGCAGGTTGTCATGTCGTTTTGCGTGGCAGGCGTGGCACTTTGTGACATTCCAACCTGTTTGATAACATGTCGAAAGCGTCAAAATTGGAGGAAGTCTCGCACAAAAGGCTGCTTTTGCTCCGCGCACATGTCTCGTTTCGAGTCTCTGGTTTTCCTGTGGCATCGCCGTCTCTATGGGGGAAGCTGCCACTCCACACTCTAGACTTTACACTCCACACTCCACAATTTACACTTTAGACTCCACACTTTACACTCTACACTTTACACTCTACACTTTACACTCCACACTGTGCACTCCACACTTTACATTTTACACTCCACACTTTGCACTTTACACTCCTCACTCCACACTCTACACTTTCAACTCCACACTCCACACTCCACACTTTACACTCCACAGTCCACACTCCACAATTTTCACTTTAGATTCCTCACTCCACAGTCCACACTCTACACTTTAAACTCCACACTTTACACTCCACACTCCTCACTCCACACTCCAACACTCTACACTTTCCACTCCAGACTCCACACTTTACACTCCACACTCCACACTTTAGACTTTACACGCCCCACTCTACACTCCATTCTCTACACTTCGCACTCCTCACTTTACACTCCGCACTCCACACTTTCCACTCCACACTCTACACTTTACACTTCACACTCCGCACTTTACATTTTACACTCCTCACTCCTCACTCCACACTCTACACTTTACACTCTGCACTCCACACTCTACACTTTACACTCTACATTTTACACTCTACACTCCACACTCCACAATCTACACTTTACACACTCCACACTCCTCATTCCACACTTTACACTCCACACTCCACACTCCACACTTTCCACTCCACGCTCCACACTTTCCACTTTACATTCCACACTCTGCACTTCACACTCCACACTCCACACTCTACACTTTACACTCCTCACTCCACGCTTTACACTCCACACTCCGCACTTTACACTCCACACTCCTTACTTTACACTCCGCGCTCCACACTCTACACTTTCCACTTTACATTCCACAGTCTGCACTTCACACTCCACACTCCACACTCTACACTTTACAGTCTACACTTAAAACTCTACACTCCACACTCCCCACACTACACTTTACACTCTCCACACTTCACATCTCACGCTTCACATTTTACACTCCACACTTTACACTTTATGCTCCTCACTCCACACTCCTCACTTTACACTCCAGACTCCACACTCCACACTCTACACTTGCCACTCCACACTCCACACTCTACACTTTACACTCCACACTCCACACTCCACACTCTACACTCCACACTCTACACTTTACACTTCACACTCCACACTTTACATTTTACACTCCTAACTCCACACTCCACACTCTACACTTTACACTCTACACTCTACACTTTATACTGTACACACTCTACACTCCACACTCCTTACTTTACACTCCACACTCCACACTCTACACTTTCCACTCCACACTCCATACGCTACACTTTCCCCGCACTGCAGACTGGTAACAGGGGAAGTATGTACAAGACTGTTCAAATAAATTATTGCAGAAAAGTGTTCTGCGTGATTGCAAATCCATGTGTTTCGACGTCCGTACCATTAACATGCGTGTGAGCATTCGGGTTCGTGGGCTGCATCTTGTTCTAATTCTCCTCCTCTCCTCCTCTTCTTCTTCTTCTTCCTTCTTCTTCTCCTTCTCTCAAACTGTTCGCCGGCGCTCGCTGCTTGTAATCTCTTCTCTGGCGTGCTCCCCCTTGCAGTTGGCCAAGATCGGCGGACTTTGATGACCCTGAGTGGCCCAACCAGTTGCTCGCGCCAAGGTTGACGAGGAGCACATGGGCCAAGGTCTTGGCGGAATGCTAATTGATGCTGCAGAGCAGCACAGCGAGAGATGCTTGGCTGCGGCTGGGCTGGGGCTTCATCCCTCTGTAGGGTGTCGCTTGGGAGGTAAAGAAGAAAAGCAGCAAAATGAAACCATGGCTGTCCAAAAACTGATATAATATGTATTTATAGGTTAGTTGTAGGGGTGCCACATTAGGAGGCACAGGAAACATCAGTAAACCATCCAATGTTGGATATTATCATGGCTCATGATTTGAACCATGGTTCATGATTTGAACCATGAAAACCATGCTGGCTGTGTTTTTTCTTGTTCTCCTGCTAAGGCTAGTGAAGAGACGATTACTTTTTTGGACCCAGCCTTTGCAACTCAAAGACATCTAGATTAGACATCACCTTCGAGATTTGAAATTTAGTTTCAGCCTCGCAACTCAGAATCAATCCAGTTCTGGTTGCTTTTGGAGAGATGTCACCTGGCCCACCAGTGGTTTTTGTGCTTTCAAATCCGGCAATTCAACGACTGATGGGTTTGGAAATCCCAGGGCCGAATTTCCCTGGAACTTTCGCGTGTCAGTGTGCCGCAAGTTGCCGCATCTTAGACTGTTTATCCCCTTGCAGGTCCATCAGCCACGCAGGTAATTGAAGTCATAGAGTCATACCGGGTCATAGAGATTCTACAACCCAAAAGATAGCGAACAGATGGGCATGAAATGGTTCCACCTTGTTTGTTAGGCATCGATCCTAGCTTCAAGGTTCACCCATGTTACAGGAACCATTTTCTCGTTGTTGCCCCAAGGCATTGGCTGGAAATGTCGGCACACGTCTCTCAGCGTGCTGAAAGCGAATGTGACCCGGCTTGGAGAAACATAGTGGCTTAAAGTTCATCATTTTTCCTTTGTTTCGCCAGGAGGATCTGGTTGAACTTTTGTTTATCCCCTCTGAGGGGAATAACTGGGGATGAGCAAAAGTCCTTTTGACCAGATTGCTTGGGTCTAACGGGCGGGACGGCCCAATCACCAAAGCATTGTGATTACACTGTAGGTTTCACAATTTTGCGGACATTTCCTGGTAGGATCATCTTACAGTTTTTGCGCTGAGGATATGCCCCCTTTCCTTTTTGATTTGGATATGTTTCAATTCCAGGAATAACGATCAACCATTGGGTGTTCGTTGGCAGAAGCCAAGGATCGGGCGAGAAGATGTTACGAGAAAGCGGGGTTCCGCATCGCATCTGGCAGCGCTGCCAGTTGGGGCAGAAAGACGCAGCATACATGGTCGGAATGGCAGAAACTTCGCAAGGTGCCAGCTTGGTCATGCTGTCCCCGCAAGATCGACAAGAAAATAAGCAGCCTTGGGGAGCATATTTTTCGAAATATTTTTTGGGGAGCTAGGATGTTCATCATTGTTCATTTGTTTGTTGTTGGGGTCAGCCGCCGACAGCTGATGAAAATTGCGCACTTTGTCATGCGAGGCCATTGGATATATTTTAAAAACACGTGTGCAGATATTTCTTCGTTGTGAAGAGTTGGCCCAACTTCTGCACATATTTATGTTTATGTTGGAAACGGAACTGCCATTTTGGCCAACAGTGTTAAAGTCGTCAACAATGTTATCACCCCTCCCCCCACCCCCTGTTGAGCATAAGCGAGCGAGCGTGTGCAACATGTCAACAACAGCAACAAGTTACATGGACCCTTGTGGCCAGCAGTCTTAAAGTCGTCAGGAAAGTTGTTAATATACCCACCCACTCACCCCCCTTGAGCAGAAGCGAGCATGTGCGACGTGCATGCCAACAACGGCAACGAGTGAAATGCTCAAAAAGGAGCACGCAGCAGTTACATGGAAAAACAGCATTGAATGTTGACCTGATCGTGATGATAACAAAAACTATTGTTAAAGTTAAAGACACATAAATCACCCTAAAATACAGGGTATTATTCCTATTCCTGACTCCACATCCACAGCCCCAATGATGGAAAACCTACGCCCGTGTCAAGGCTTTGTTCCCTTGTTCTTGTTCTTGTACTTCTTGTTCTTGAACTACTTCTTGTTGTTGTTTGTTGTTGTTGCTCTTGCTGCTCTTGCTGCTCTTGCTGCTCTTGCTGCTTGTCACTCTGCTGTCATGGTGCTGTGATTCTGTTGGCCGGAGTGGATATATTGCTGCGTAAGAAACCAACAACCCACGGGGAAGCCAAATCCGAAAAAACACGATGAATCCACAGTGAAGGCACAGTATAGTCATGGAACCCAAGAACCCAAGAAAACAAGAAGCCACAAGCAGCCAGCAGGGGTTCAGAGCCTGATTTCTGCTTTTGTAGTGTTTTCTGCGGAGGTTTAGTGGCGCGGCAGGGGGGACACGAGGGTAAAGCGCAGTGCCTCCTCCAAAATAAAACGAAGACATATGTATCGTTTGAGCATGTTGAGCATTGCTTCGCTTTTCTTGGCATTTTATCGGCAGTGTTTTCTGCACAATACTTGCGGCTCACCGTACTTTGGAATTTGGGCTAAGGCTTTTGTTTTTGCTCTTGTTGCTTGATGTTCGAGATGGTCATTCTTAGCATGTTTCTTGGTTTGTTTTAAATGTATCCCATGGAAGTCTTTATATGTGCGATACTTGCGTCGGTTGACAGTTGAAACCTTTCATCGGCGCTGCAGCTGCCCCCACATGGCATTTGGCCACCTGTTTTTCTCTGGTTATTGTTCTGACTGACGATTTGATGGTCTTTCGTTGGAGTTTTTGCTTTTGGGTCTGTGGCATTTCTCCTGCATTTTAAAATTTGAAACTTAAAAAAAACAAATAATCCATGAAACCACAATACGCAAATCAAATCACCATTGCCTTAAAAAAACAACATCAGCCAAAGAAGCTATACAGAAACCACAGAGCCAAGAAACGAATATATCAAATATACTATCCAGATAAGCGACATGTCTTCATGAATGAGCTCATTGGCATGTGAAAAAAAACAAGAAGCCAAGCGGCCAAATAGCCTATAAACACTAGAAGCCAAACGACCGATGAGCCAAGAGAACAAACAAACGCCACAAAAACACGCAAAAAATGCCAAGAATGCAAAGACCACAGCAGCCGCAGACCACGGGGGAAAAAAGAAGCAGAAAAAAAAACACTTTCTGAAATATGTGTATATGGTATATGCATATTGGCCTCGGTTGTTACCTGCAAGCAGTTCCTTTCTGTTTGACATGACTTGAACCTAACAGCTTGTGCGGATTTGAGATGGAATTCGCCCTTTCCGCCGCCAAGGTCCACAAATCTGCCTTGAAGTCCACCAAAGCGTGACAGCGTGAGTGCCCTTGTCATCGCTTTGATTGGAAAATTCGAAAGACGAGCGCTGTGCAGGTGGACAGGTGGCCCAAACTGATGCCTCTCCCGAAAGAACGATTTAAGCCCTTGTTCCCCATTTGTTCCCCTGCTCCGGGCGTGGTATGGTGTGGTTTTCCATTTTGGCATTGACCAGTGGTTTCAATATATTTCAAGAACTTTCGCAGGGGGCAAAGTCCATGTCGACGGTTTCAAACTTGAGTTTCCTGGCCTCGGACGGTGCAAGGTAAATGCTGGTGGACACAATGTTTGGGGGTCATTAGGCCATCGTCGTCCGCGGGTGTCTTCGAGTCGGCTATGAACCAGCTAGTTTTAGGCATTGTTCCCGACAGAAGTGGACACAGAAGACAGCGCGGCAAGCTCAGCAGTATATAAATGTATACTACGTTCATTGATCATGTGGTTGTCCGTGTGTGAGGCCCTGAAAAGGTTTTTAAGTTTGATCTTTCTAGGTGCTGGGAGAAAGGCTTTATTTCTTGCCATCAGCATGTGACGATTTCTTCTTTTGAAAGATTCTTCTTCTCCCGGTGAAAGGATTCCTCCTTCCCGGCGCCGGGTTGGGAGGATTCTCTTTTTCCCGGCGCCGGGTCTCGCTCCCGGCGCCGGGTCTCCCTCCCGGCGCCGGCTCTCCTCCCGGCGCCGGCTGAAGCCTTCCTCCTTTCGCAGTGTGGGGTGGAAGCTTTCTTCTCTTGCTGGCAGAAAGACCAGCAACCGCGGCGACATACAGTATGTTTGTTGCTGAGCTCAGGGCGTCAAAGTCTTCATTCCCTTCTAACGGCGCCAGGGTGACGAGGAGCGCGTTTCGATTCAACAATGACACCCGGATACTCGAAATTCAAGGCGCAGATCAGCATTAGCGTGGAGAGATGTATTTCGGCCATGAGACGGAGGATAATTAAGGAACAGCAACGCTGCTGACTGTTGCTAGCTTTCCGCTTCCGCGCCTACACATCGCCCTATAGGTTTCTACGGGGCCTTTTGCTATGTCGGCAGCAGACGGACGCCTACCCTGCCATTTTGAAAATGTATGTATGTATATCTGGTAAGAGGCATGTACGCTTTTCAATATTCCTTCACAGTCGCACCTGCACCAAGACGGGGATGAAATAAATTCCGGCCACTGCGCGCCAATTTTCAGTGCAAATTTTCATTTTTGAAAACGTACGAAATCACCTCGCACAGCCCCGATGGCTTGGCTCCACCCACTGCCCCGCTCAAAGGGCTAGCGGCGGCCTTCCTCCGAATGCCCCGTTCAAGCTCCTTACTCGTACAAGATTCAAATCTTCCTCCCAAAGCCCCGAACGAACCATTTCCACCCAAAGCCCCGATGAAACCATTCCACCCAAAGCCCCGATGAAAAATTACGCGCAAAAACGGTTAAAAAAACAGCAAAAAAAGGCATTTTTCTCGTCTCTGGAAAGGGCCTAGATGCTTCCCAAGTCTCGGCTGAAGGGCCCGCGGCAAGGACTTGCTTGAAAACCCCTTAGGACTGGATGGCGGCATGAAGCAATCTTGAATACTACTTCTACTACATCGGCACTAATGCAAGCCTAAAAGGCTTGAGGTCACGGGGTTTTCTTTCATTCCATCTGGTTCTGCTTCTTGCATCAACGCGTCTGCCAGGCATATATGGAAGCAATGCAGAAACAGACTCTGGTCCCTGTTCTGTTCCCGTTTGAGACATGCAAAGTTCAAGGTCCATCGTAGCAATGTTCTTTTTCAACCAGCGTTGTGCTAAGCTTTGGCACCCAAGCCGCTGCTCCTGTTTGCTCTTTGCTGTGGCCTCTGCCTTTCTAGGGCTGGCCTGTTTTAATTTCCCGCTTAGCAGGCTTAGCAAATGAAAATGGAATTGGTAGTGTTCTGCAAGCCGTGCTTGAAACAGCTACAGGACTGAGCATGAGAGTTGAATGAGAGGGCATTGCTGCAGCTTGCTGCTCCCAGTGGCTCGGGCGTGCCTTGACGGCAAGCTTCCCCAAGTTGAGAGCTTTCCCCATGAAGGCAAGGATTCGAACGCCCGTGGTGAGTTGCCATCTTGACGAAGGCAACTGCCGCTAATGCTCTAGGCGTTGCCTGCGTTAGCCTTCTCCGCGGCGTGCCCAGCGCGGGGTCGACTGTGAAATATGGCAAAGGGCGTTTCGCATGCTACTGGCATGGTTGTCGTCGCAGGAATTGAAGGCAACATTGCGAAAGAAACAGGTGGCCACTGAGATCAGGTTGTATATACGGTTTCATACATGTTGATTTCCACAGGTACATGCTGTTGAAGTAGCCCCCCCAGGACAAGAAGTGCCCAAGCGAAGGCTAAGGATTTGCTAGTGCTCACTTGCATGGGTCTGTCCTGTATTGGCCATTGCTTGTCATAAAACAAATTTACATTGCAATAGCAGAGGTTGTGGTTGAACCACCTACATGGGGTCTTGAGATGTGTTCCGGTAGAAGATTCAGTGAACGTTTGCAAGGCTATTTAATCAGAAATATCTGTTCAATGTAGCTAGGTTGGAAACCCCCCCCAAGCCCCGCTCCACCCAGTGCCCTGCAAATTCTTTCCTCCAAACTTAAAGTGTGCGCCTCGGGGTTCTCAAGCCCTTCGCCTGCGGTATTTTCATTTTAAATCTTGCATAAGTGGGCTCTTGTGGAGATCTTGCTAAATTCCTCTCTAAGAGGTCCTTGCATGATGCTGTACAGGTCCTTAACAGAAGATCTTGTGGAGATCCTGGTGAGATCCTCTCTCAGGGGTCCTTGCATGAAGATATTGCAGATGACATGTCCTAGAGGTGCTTGTACGAAAGCTATGGTGGGGGGCTCCTGGAAGGTTTTCTGTGTCAAGATCTTGTAAGATCCGCTCCAACAGCAGCATGTCCT